CGGGCCGCGGGTCGGGCGCTGGACCGCCGTGGCCTTGGCGGTGCCGGCCGCGGCCGGGCGGCGGGAGGGGCCGGAGCGGCGGCGGGCGGCCGTGCGGCCGGTGTGGGCTGGGGAGCGCGGCCCGGAGCCGCCGGCCCGGGGGCTGCTGAGGCGGTCGAGCCTGGTGCTACGGCTGGGCTTGCGGGCCTGCGTGCTGCTACTGCGCTTCGGGCCCCTGTTGCTGCTGTACCCGCTGAGCCGCCTGCGGCCCGGCCTGGCCGCCCTGTGGCTGCGGCTGCTGCGGAGGGCGGCCGAGGCCGCGGGGCCCACCTGCATCAAGCTGGGCCAGTGGGCCAGCACCCGCAGGGACCTCTTCTCCGAGGCTTTCTGCGATGAGTTCTCCAAGCTGCACGTCGAGGTGAGCCCGCACCCCTGGGGTCACACCGACGAGCTCTTGAGGAAGGCCTTCGGCGAGGACTGGAGGAGCATCCTTACGTTTCCCAGCCAGGAGCCGGTCGGCTCAGGCTGCGTGGCACAGGTGTATAAAGCCTATGCCGATCTCACGGCTGTCGCTGCACCCCCGGCCGAGGGGCTGGCACGGAGCTCCGAGTTACAGACTGCCTTTGAGGCGTGGGAGGTGTCAGGCCTCAGGGGCCTCTTCAGGTGGCTGAGAAGGAGGAAGAGCGAGGGGATGGGGGAAGAGAGGAGCGGGGCAGAGCTGAGCCCGGTCAGCTGCTCCCTGAGAGGTCCTGTGAGTGGAACATCCCACGGGGAGCAGATGGCCGCAAACCCGTCATCAGCCAGATACCTCACACCTGTAGCTGTTAAAGTAAGTCACACGTCTTACTGGCAGACCTGTGAATGTAGAGTGCACAGGATAAGCCAAGGAAGATTCTGGTTCTGATGGAGAAGAGTTGGCTGGATATGACCATGTGGAGCAATGCTTGCTTCCCTCCATATGCTGTTTTGGTGCTCCGGTTCCAGCCAGCTGCAACCCAGGCAGCAGTGGCCCCAACTCTTCTCAGCACCAGTACACACCCTCCCTGTGGCACCATTTGATGTGCCACCTGGATACCAGAAATTGCTAGGGCCCGATTATACATTAAAAGAATGAATATAAATTGTTTCACCTTTCAGAAAATGAGACCCATTCTTTCCTCATGTGGAGAAATCTGGAACAGATATGTTCTTTTCAGCAAAGCTTATTAAAATAAATTTTATGTTGGAGCTGTTCCAAATACTAGTCTGTACTACATGGCAGGAAAGGGGCAGAAGAATGGAAGCAAGGGAAAATGGCAGTGGGTGAAACTTCAGGCTCTGGGACAGAAATTTTCCATTTGAAAATTATGAAGTGTTTCTTCACAGCTTAATCCATGGCAAAATAAGAATTATTCTGAGGACTGTCTTGTGAAGCCTTGTTAGCTCCCAGCTTTATAGGGTAGGTTCTGTTCATTTCAAGTACATCATTTTAGCTGATGGAAATGGACTGTCATTTTTACAGTCTTTTGGGAGTTAACGTTGCCACCATTTCTTCTTGTGCAGGTCCTGCACCCAGGGCTAGTCCACCAAGTCCAGATGGATCTGTTTCTCATGAAGTTGGGTAGCCACATCATTGGACTTCTCCCTGGATTCAAGTGGCTCAGTTTGACAGAGATTGTAGAAGAATTTGAGAAACTTATGCTTCAGCAGGTGTGTGCAATGCCACGTACTGAAATAGAACTGTTTCTTGCTATTGATAGGCCCTTAGTCCATCCATGCTATTACTTTTTAAAAAATTAGATGGAGGTTTGGTTGTTCTTTCATTATGATTTCCTGTAATCAGGCACATAAAATTTATGTGGGAAAACTTATGTGCTCACAGAAAGCAAAGCTACAAAGAAGCTTAATAATCTTTAGGAGACTTAAAACTTGTTTTATGACTTGAAGTGTATTTTCTAGCAAACTGGAACAGTAGGTTAGCATAACTGCAGTCCTTTTTGTGGAATTATGAAGGAAAGATGAACACTGGTGGAAGATCTCTCTAGAGAAAAAGAATCTCTGAACAAGTGCTCATGTGTTTTTCCCTTATCCTACATTTAAATTTACAATCTGGTTGTGCTGGTCATGTTTCCTAGCCTTGAGGAATACATATTAGCATAATTAACACCCTTTTAAATGAGGTATTATTCTACATTGTATCATCATTAGACTGGTAGTGTGAGCAAAGTTAAACTTTGCAAGTAGCTCTGGAAACATGTCCCAGTTCACTGAGTGCTGAAATATCCTTATTGCCAAATTCACAAAGATTTCACTACAGAGTTAATTGCTTTTATGTTTGTTAAAATGAACTGTTATCTGCTGATTACATTTCTTGTGTTTAGATATTGCAGTCTGAAGTCTTTTAAACTCTGAAAATTTGAGCTGTTTTCTATTAGTTCAAGAAATCTACTCAGCAATCCATGTTGTAAACTGTATTCAGATGTGACTGAAGGTCATTAGGACTAGTTTAGTGGGACAGAACTCTTGCTGGACTCTGAAAACTTGGGATGAGGAGAGTATCTCACTGGCCTGTTGTCATTTTTCATTTCTCTTTGAAAGAACAAGAATTATTGCTGGGATATTTCCCACTGCCCAGTGAGGGAAGTGAGGCAAGGTTATCTTTCCTCCCACATATTCCCTAAAGATCTAATTGCATCTAACTCCCAATCTGCTTTTCTTTTTTCTTCTTTGAGATCGACTTGCACTACGAAGCCAGAAATCTGGAGCGCTTCTGTCAAAATTTCCTAGATGTTGATTTTGTGAAGTTCCCAACTCCTGTTCGCCCTTTGGTGACAACAGATGTTCTTGTGGAAACATTTGAGGTAAGAATTGCACGGTCTGGGAGCAGTGGCAGCAGGGAGAAGGCCCTCAGGGGAGTGCTAAAGATGCATCTTTTGAGAAAGAGCGGTCACAGGCAGGAGGGTGCTCTTTTTTTGCATAAAGAGATTGGTGTCCTTCTTCAGTGTCTCTTCTACTCTGTTTGTAAACAGTGCATCCCAGAAGACAGACGGTGGACAGCTCCATATAGAAGTAAACTCTTGGCCTGAAACCAAGCAGACCAGCAGTGTGTGCAGCCACCATGTACTTGCTTGTGCTTTGCAAACCAGCATAACGCTCCAGCTCTCCTCTGGGGTGGGTCAAAGCACAGAGCTCAGCAACCCAACACTATCTGATGCTTGCCTCACTTTCCTTGTGAATGTTTGAGTCACGGACCAAAGCTACTCTCAGCCCTAGTTTTTGTGCATGCAATTCTGGCAGGGGTGTCTCTGCCCCAGGCTGTGTTGCACACTTTTTCTAAAGAACAAATCCTTGATGTTCTCATGTTTACCGTCTTGTTAGGTACAGTCTCAGTGAGCTAGTCCTTGCAAGATTATTCTTACTTCCTTTCTTTATCTCTCAGCACATAGGTAAAGGTATGATTGCATGTGGGACACAGGGTGTATTTGATTCCAGGTCTTTTTTTCTTTCTTCAGGAGAGTGAGCCTATTTCACACTACCTACACACAGAGGTTGCCACAGAACTGAGGCAGAGACTCGCAAAGATGGGCATGGACATGCTCCTAAAGATGGTAGGCACTCGACAGGGGCTAGAAGTGAAGGTTATTTTCCTGCAGAATCTTTTCTATTGGGGTAATAAGACATTGTGGCTAAGGAGAGAACCTGTTTGCTCCCACATCTTCTCCCCCTGGACTCAAGACACATCTGTGCCTTTTGGAGCCAGCTCATGGATGTCAGGTATTGTGACAACCCAGGACTTGGGCTGCCAGGTGCACTGTGCAGCTCCTGAAACTGACAGAGGGAGGGTCTGTGCTTCACATGCAGTGTAAGATGTGACCTGAGTAAAGCCTGGACTACATACATCACTTCTGCAGGCTTTGATGTGGAGCACCTTTAGCTGCAGAAAGGAGATCTGCTTGCATGTGGTAGGATCCTACTGTGAGATGTGATCAGAGCATTGCTTAGCAAACCCATTGATCCATTTAATGAATATTCACAGATTGCCCAAGTGCTGTAAAGTGCCATGTAATTAGTAGATGCCACATTCTCTGCAGAGGACTGTGGATGCAAATCACAGGGAAAAGAGAGAGATTATTCAGTTATTCACTCCTACCCCAAAACTATCTTTTTATAGGGAAGAACTAAATATGAAGTAAAGAAAAAACCTGGCCAGATAAAGCTTTCATGGCCAAGATAATAAAAAATGATCTGGAAAGGCATGCTGAGAAGTGAATTAATTTGCTTGTGAGAAGCCATGAGAGCTAGTAGGGAAGAGCTGCAAATAACCTCAGTGCTGAGCAAGTGAGCAGTGAGTATCAGGTAAAATTCAGCTGGTACTTAGCAATATTGTGCTAAGGCAATAGGGAGGCTTGCAGTTATAACTTCACATAGTGTGGTAGCCTCAAATAGCTTTTACCATTTGGAAAAGCAGTGGTAGAACTACAGTTTTATGCTAATGTTAGATTTAATTAGCTCTGAAAAGCAGAGAAATTACAGCAGCTTCTGATAAAGATGTATAGAGTCATGGGTATAGGAGCGTAAATATGAACCTATTGTTTGTAGTTTCTTAAAACAATGAATAGACATAAAATTATCAGAGGTTGTTTTTTAAGCAATATCCCCAAACCCTCTTATTTTCACACTGCTGTAATTTTTTACATGAGAATTAGACAAATGCATAGGTGAAGAAATCTACTAGGTGCAAAAAACCTCCTTGGGGTAGGAAGTCTTGCAGCCTCAGATTGCCAGGGATGTTACTGGAGAGGCATTGCCTTGTGCCTTACCTTCTTGCTGCTCCTTTCTACTGCTAACTGCTGTCAGAAACAGAGAAGTGCTGTATATATTTCTTTCCTCTTCTTATTTATTTTTAACTTATTTTCCTTACTTTTCAATACAGCTGTAATGTATGTTGATGTGCTGGAGTAGACAAAGGTAGCCATGCACTAAACCCCATACCAGTGAATGGCAAAGTAACTGTGTTACTTGTTGCCAAGGCCCACCACCCTACACTGAGCGTAGGGCTAATGGCTGGAGAGAGCTACCTGCTGGAACTTCTCGCTGTTCTACCTTACCTCTCACAGATGGGCAGGATTGCTTCACGCAGCTCTGACTCTCCTAGAGTGAGTAGCACTCACACTCTTTCAACACAGTTGGTCTTTGCCAGAAGCCATTTGCTTTGTTGCAAGTGTCGCACATGAACGACAACAGGGAACAACAGACTGCATGAATCCATGCTGTCTGCCTGGGGGTTGGTGTGGGCAGGTTGGTTGGAATCAACTGCTCTAAGACTTGTTCATCTTCTAGGTCTTTGTTGACAACTTTGTCCATGCTGACCTGCACCCTGGGAACATCCTGGTGCAAGGCACAGCCTGCGTCAGCAGCAGCTGCAAAGAGCAGACGGCCATCGTGGATGTGTGTGACACCCTCGTCCTGGAAGTGCAGCCGCCCTTCAGACGGCTCTGCCTGGTGCTGCTGGATGCAGGGATTGTGGCAGAGCTGCAGAGTGCTGACATGCAGAACTTCAGAGCAGTTTTCACAGCTGTGGTGCAGGGCCAGGTGAGGCTTCTGTCATGGTGTTAAGTAGCTGAGGTTGGGGAATGGAGACAGCTGGAGAGCTCCATGGCCGAACTGTAGTTCTCTTTCTGTTTTCCTTTACGGTCCTCGCCAGGGGGGCAGAGCACTCTTGCTAGCTTGGAAAGCTTACCAGACAAAGATGCACGCCTAAAACAACAGGCTACTGAAATGGAGTGAGTTCAGTTGCCAATGAGACTGAATGTGTTTGACAGAAAGCAGCCACTGCCCCTCCTTGGTTTAGAGTGCTTCTGGTGCCACTTACCACCGCTTGGGGGTTGCTTATAGAATCATTTGAGTTTTGTGATGCCTCCTATAGCTGGAAGAAGGAGGCTTCATCAACAGGCTCCACTTGATTGGGCAGCTAGTAGCAGACCCTATCCACAAGGCTCCCTTTGTTGTTGTCCTTACTGTTCTAACTCTCACCTGTAACTTTTGATTTGCTCATGGCTATTCTTCAAGGACAGGCCTCCACACTATTCCTTTCTTCATAAAGAGGACAATGCCTCCTCCCTTCCTTCTTTACCTGTCTCTACTGAACAACTCGTAGCCATCAATAGCCACACTCCAGTCATGAGAATCATCCCACCAGGTCCCAGTGACAGCAACTACATCATGATTTTCTAGCAGCATGGTGGATTCCAGCTTCTCCTGTTTGTTTCCCAAGCTGTGTGCATTGGTTTAGAGGCACTTCAGCTTGGCAGCTGGTCTTTTTGCCTTCTTGGAGGATAATTCCTTTGAAGTATTTCCCTTGAGTTTCCCTGTTGCTTTCTCCTATTGCCTCAGTGGTGCCAGTACATCTCAGGGCAGCAGGTTGAGGGCCCCACTAGCACTGTCTTCCTCTAACTTAGCTATCCTATCCCATGCTGTATTGCAGGTAGGCTCGCTATCATCCCCGTGCTCCCTTCAAACCTAGTTTAACATCCTGCAAATGAGCCCAGCTAGCTTTTTCCCATGGACTGTCTTGCACCTTTGAGAGAGGTGAATCTCAACTGGTTCCTGCAAGCCTGGTGTCATCTAGGCCATCCCACTGTCAAAATACCCCAAGTTTTTGTGGCAGCACCAGCCAGGAAGCCAGGTTTTATGGTTTGGATTGTTCCAGTTCTTTCAATGTCCTTACCCAGTACAGGAAGCAGAAGAGATGATCTGTGCCCTCAATTCCTTTAGCTGATGTCCCAAGGCCCTGAAGTCCCTCTTATGGCTTTGAACTATGTGTAGCTACTTCATCGCTCCCCACATGGAAAAGCAATAGTGCATAGTGATCTGTTGGCAGTACCAGGCTAGGGGGTTTGTCTGTTCTCTACCTGAGCTTCAGGGAGACCTTCTTCTCTAAAAGGGTCTGCCTGAAATATTATGTGTTCGGTTCCCTGCAGGGAGGAGTCACCTACAACTAATACCTGTCTGTTTTTTGAGGATGTAGTCTTGATACTGGGGGAAAGAAGGCTTTTATAGTTCTGGCTTTGTTGTTTCCTCTAGCGTAGGTGGGCTGTTATCACCCATAGACAGGCATTCCACCCCCACAGCCTCATACCTATTGTATGAAGGCACCTGGGGGAGCAGAGTGGGCGAGGAGCCCCATGCATGGACTTGCCTCCATCCACTCTTCTCATTTAAATTCTTGCCTTCAGGCTGGCAGTGAGGGGATACATGCTGCCACGAATCTTGTGCTTTCTTCTGCAGTAGGTCTTTTTTTTTTTTTTTTTTTGCCCTCAAAATACACTTTAACCTATATATTTCATCTTGTAGCCTTGCTGTGAGGCTGAGAAGATTGTTCACACGCTTGTGTCTTGCACAACTGTTTTCACTTCTGCCACATGGTGCCAGAGAAAGGCTCAGGCACTCTGTGCAGCTGGAAGCCTGCATGGCTGAATGTTTGCCTCAGAGTTCAGCCTGGGTTTTGATATCCTTTTTGATGAGTGCAGATAGTCTGTCTCTCAGTCAGGTGGATACCATGACTGGGCTCTCTCTTCTCAGCGGGTGCTAATCCTGCACTTAGACGATGAAACCACCTACAGACCTTATCTCTGCAGCCTATGGAGTGCTTGCTCACCCTGCCTGCATGAACGGCCGTGCAAGCTGCCGCACCATGCCCTGTTTGTCCATCCTGGTCACTATGTTCCTGGTTGCTTGCACTCCTTAAGGGCTGCCTTTGTGCATGTGGAGGGATTCCACCATCCTTCCTCACTCCACCTGTGCTGTGTCAGAGCTGCCTCTCACTGGGGCACTGCACTTCTGACTGGGATTTTAGCTGCTGTTTTGTCTTACTGGGATAGGTTCCCCAGTGAGTCTCTGCTCTGAAGCTGGTCCCCTCCAATTCTTCCAGTTTCAGGCTCTCATTTTGGAGACTGTTTTTGCTGGAGATAAAGGAATGGATTAAGATCTTAATCTCCTACACATTCCCTTCTGCAGCTTTCCGTGCCTTGCTCTGCAAAAGCTTATCTGCCACCCTCCATTCTGCTGTTGTGTTAGTGCCTGGCGAGAAGAGGCAGCAAAGCAGGTAGAGGGGTCTGATCTCCCTGAGGCTCCTCTGTGGAAGGGAAACTCCCCCTTCCCACTTATTTGAAATACACTCTCAGATGGGCTAGAGAATCAAGTGCTGATGTGTCCTGTTCATTTTGTGATAAAGCAGTACTCATAATGGCATATTACTGTTTCTTAGCTGTGGGTTGGATGGCTTACCAGTGGATAGGAGGGACAGGTTTTACCCCAGTTTATTTATCTACTGAGACATACCCAGGAGCTGGTGCTAGAACCCATGCATTCAGGCCCATCCTGTGCTGCCAGATTTCTCAGCCACTAAGCCAAAGCTGTGATCATTTGATTGCCCATCCTCGTGCCTCACATTGGATGTATTAAACAATATGCAGGTGAAAAAACTTGTACATCAAATCTCATTGCCAAACCTGGCGCCTCTGGCTCTGTCCACTCCTGTGAGACAACTCATCCAAGAAGAACTGTAATTTCTCTCACAAGTGAAACTTGGATACTGCTCTTGCCATGCTTTTTTCACCAAATGTGCTGGCATCATTGCTTTCCTCCAGACAGCATAAATAGAAAGCTGAACTTGGGAAAGGTTAGAGGATTCTCTTCATTACACCATTATCTCCTCTTGAAGTCCTGCTGGCTTTCTTTTTCTCCTTGAAACTTCTGACTGAGAGATCTTTGTTATATCTTCCCTTACAAGAAAAATAGAGCAAGGTTCTGCCAGATATTGATTAAAACTTTTGGCCCAATTTTGCTCTTCCTGTACCTGCTTCTGTTGGTTGCTTGGGTGTCTTGCTGGAATGGGAGAGCATAGCCCTGGGAGTTCTCCCTGCAATATGCCTCCTACAGGAACCTTTGCAGCAGATGTCTTTCAGGGTTGATTTCCAGCTCCAGGCCTGCTGGTAACAGTGATCTAGTTGTGCTGATTCTTTTTTTCCACTTGTTTCACAGGGGGAGAAAGTGGCAGAATTGATTCTTCATCATGCTCGGGCCAACCAATGCCAGGATATTGAGCGATTCAAAGCTGAAATGGCAGAACTAGTGACCAAAGTTCGAAGGAACACCATTGCCCTAGGAAAGGCAAGTCCACAAACCATATCCCACCCTCATGTAGGTGTACTTCAGTGCAGCTTAGCTTTTAAAGTGGTCCAGGTGGAAAGGCCAGCTGTGATCCCATCAGCACCATGTGCTACTTGGAGCTTTTAGTGTCTCAGATGAAGTTAAGTCTCTAAAATCTCTTCTTAATTCCCTCTAACTAAAAATGAAACCATGTGTGTTTAATTCTGCTCTTTAGATCTCTAACATCTGCAGTCCTCTTTGAGGAGTCACTAAACTGTGTGTGATTCTGTGTAAACCTGATGTTACAGCTTGTATCCTTTTGGTAAAGGCCAGCCTGGCACTTCATAGAACGTAGTACAGAGGTATTGAGGAAATTAATACCTACCGTGTATTGCTGTGAGATGTTTTCAGCCTTACTGGGCTGGCAAATAAACAGAACCACGGGTCAGAGCTGAGCTCCTTATCCCGGGTAGGGTGGAAAGGATCACACCTTGTTGGCCATTCTCAGCCCAGTAGTCCTGTCCTACCACTAAGACTAAGGGCTAACAAACACTTTGAATCCTACCTGTTGTGCATGTGGCTCAGTCATCTTGAACACTGGTACTCTGAACAGCTGTTAACTTTTCCTTTTGTATTCCAGCTTCAGGTGGCAAATCTCCTCTCCAGTGTCTTTAAATTACTGATGACGCATAAGGTGAGGAGCTGTCACAGTATGCTTTCAACAGCTGGAAGTTCACTGGGGAGGGAGAAGTACTGGGATTGCAAGGGACTGACAAGAAGGGGGACTATATCTATAGTTAGTTACTTAGTGCCCTGGTGTACCTTCATGCAGTGGTAGCACCTGGCTGGGAACTGTTTGTATACAGGCAGAACGGGGCTGTTTCCTCTGTAGTATCTAGAGCTCTTTTGTTGCCCTTCAAAAGGTGAGCTGCCCCTTACCCAACTGCATGTGTTCAAGTAGGTTGGATACTGCCATGGTTTAAAACCACATTAGCAGTAGTGAGTAATCCTAACCTTCTGCTGCTGTAGTATGGAAAATTACATGGAAATGAGAAATAAACTTCTGGGTTGTCTTAGGGTGCTTCCCCTGAAACTGTGTTCTTATTTTTGTACCTGCTTAAGCTCTCCCTGCTTCTCTCCCGCTTTGTCAGAGCTCGTACCTCTGTGAAATGAGCTCAGAAGGTCTGCTGTCTCATGTGCTTCTAGGTGAAACTTGAGAGCAATTTTGCTTCCATTATCTTTGCCATCATGGTTCTGGAAGGTCTTGGTCGTTCACTGGACCCTGAACTGGACATTCTAGAGGCAGCTAAACCACTGCTTATCAGAACTGCAGCTTCTGTCCTGGAGTAGACACTCGTGGCTGCTGCCCTCTCATGGTGCAGGGTTACCTCTGGTGCCTGTGAGCTGACAGGAGGAAGCTGAAGGTGAGAACAGTTCCAAATGTCGTGGGGAAGTGCCACGTCATGGTAACCCTCCATACCCTGCCTTGAATCCTATCAGCCAAACATCAGGCATGGGATCTTCATGAGGTCTGTTTCAGAAGCCTTTCTTTTCCAGGAAGATTTTGCACAGATGGAGAGTTCTGATTCTTACAATTGTGTGGTTCTATGAGCTAATATGCTCTGGTAGTTTTTAACTGACATATCATGTGGCCTGTGTGTAAAAGATCACTGCGGGCTGATGAGGAAACCAGTCTTAATTGTCTAAAAGTCTTTAATAAGATGTTCAGTGATCAAATTTGTTTTGAAATAAATTGGGTTAAATATTAATTTGCTGGCTGATCTGTCAACATGGTATAAAAAAATGATGTTCTGATGCCAACTAAGCAAGTACTTCAGGCTGAAAAAAGCCAGTAAGCCTTTTTGTCTTTTGTACTTCTACTTTTATTGTCTTGGTCTTTTTTGATGATAAAAACAGACCAGGGTATTGATTTTTTTTTTTTTAAACTATACTGTACAATAATGTATGTATGGCAGAAAAACTAATTCCATAATAAAAACAACTTTTGGGAATACTTGTACTGGTTTCAGTTTTTGTTGAAGCTTTAAAAAAGGCTTAAGAAGGCTTTCTCCTTGCTGTGCTGTCCTCCCAGCCCTCACCCTATGCAACTCACAGCCTTAACTCATACATAGAGGTGTGGTTTTTCTCCTTGAGCAGTTTGCAAAACAAGGAGTCCAAACATTTTCCTAAAGAATGGAAAACACTGAATGTTTGAATCAAATTAAAGCCAACAAATGAGATACATCATAGAGCTTTTATAGTCAGTTATTTTAATAAAACTCTTAATGTTGTTTTATGGCCTTATTTTTATGGTAAGATACATAGCCTATGAATGATTGGAAATATTGTCATGCTAAATGTATTTCCAGATACGCTCCATGTGAAAGTGCAGCCACACACAGCTCTGTGCAGTTGCCTGTTCTCAGCTGGTTAAGCAATGAAGAGAAAGCACATATGCAGATGATCTGTTTAATGGTGATTATAAAACGATGATTAATGATACATAAATGAAGTCTGAAAAATTAATTTAGAATTCTGCTCAGTGTATTTCATGTGCTTCCATCATGAAATACTCCATTTCCAAATGTTTGAGGATAAAAAGCAGCAGTAGAGTTTAATGGTAGCTTTCAAACTTTCTGCTTGAGTCTAAGCAGGCTCAGACTCAAAACTAAGTATGTTATTGCCCTAAATAAGTTATTTACTCAAAAGCATGCACTGTCTTCATTAAAAAAAAAAAAAGCAGAGCAAGCAACCTCTGAACTTCACACTGAAGATAATCTCTGTGTGCTGCCAGCACCCCATCACCCAGTAGTGTGTGTGCCCTACTGTGTCTGTACCCAGCAGGTGCCAGGCACAGCACTGCAGCATGTGCAGCCTGGGCTCAATCCCCATCTGTTATGCAGCTCTTAGGCACAACCACCCACATTATTTGTACCAACAGCAAATATCAGACAATTTTATCCCAAGGTGAAATAGAGCTTAAACCAAATGGTTTAAGAACTTAATTAAAAATAATATTAATATTAATAATAATAATAATAATAAAAAGTCAAAACCTTTTCCTTATATTTAGGTTTATCTTTGTTTCTTGCTGCATTTTTTTAACACATAAACCTCAGGATGGTTCATGCTTATTATGGATCCTAAAGTAACAAATACTTCTTTTAGCTATGAAGACCTCAGAATAGTTTGTAGCCACAGGGATGCCTTAACCTTCATTTTGTGGAGGAAAGCAAAGCACATACCCCTCAGTTATCTCTGCAGGAACACAGTTCAAAACTTAGTGCTAAGAAATTGTTGGCCATGCAACAGATTAAGCAGAATTTCAGAAAAGAACTCGCAAAAGGGACTTCTTAACCTTTTTATTTTTAGAAACTACTGTAACTGAAGATGTATTCCTTAACAGAGATGAATTTTTATAATACCTGTAGCTCTTGGCTAAGTGATATTCCAGAGTGTGTTAGGTGTTTCCAAGTGGACACAATGTCAGGCTGCAGCACTTCAATTTTGTATCCAGTTTGGCTCTGGGTGCTACATAAAACAAGGTATCTCACATATTTTATTCCCATTACTTTATATATTAGCACACTTTTATGAAAAATAAGTCCCTTTAATATAATTCTGAGTGCCCCAGCAAACTGTGCCACGTCCATTCTTGTTTCCTAAATACCCATATGAATTAAATCATTTCACTGCCCAAAGCTGATAATGGCATTCTGTGACACCTATATTTGACACGTGCATTTCAAATGGTGACAACCATAACTTCCTCATCCCTTTTGTGAATGAAGGCACTGCTACTGATCACAGCACAGTGCATTAAACTCATCTCATCTCTCCTTAATGTTGTGTAACAGCATCTCTTGGTGTGTCTTATTTTTTTCTGTCCTGGAGAGGGAAAAAGATGGCAGCTTATCCATCTGACACCACATGCCTCACTATCAGAAGTGAGCAATGCACTTAAACTGGGGCCAACAGGAGCAAGTTAAACCCTGGACTCCAGGTGGTAACTCTGTTTTACCCTGCAGTGGCAATGGGGAAACTTCTGCAATGTTGCTACCTACCCTGGTTTCTCACACAGTTTGTTCACTCATTTTTCAATTTACTATTTTGTAGCATCCTTATCACTTATTTGTGGTGTAGCCTGTTTATTCTGATTGTGTGCCCTACCTGCATAGATATGCCTATCTTTCTGGCATAAGATTTCCAACTTTTGGAGACAAGCAGGCCAAAAAATCAGATAATAGCAAAATAGAATCCCTTGCCCACCACTGGGTTTGGTGATTCTCAAAAGACAGGTATCTCAGGAAATTAACATTTTTCTCACCATAATGCCTAGAAACACACACACACACACACACAAAAAAAAAAAAAAAAAAAGTGGAAGGATCTACACTCACTTGCAGCCCAAGCTGGATGGTCCCAAGTTGCCCTACCAGGTTTTTGGGAGCAGATCTCACATTACTGGATTCCTGCCCTGCCTCCTACAGCAGTTCTGGACCTACAGCAGTTACTGGAGGTAACCCAACTTCATCATATGTATGGACTTCTTTCCTATGGATCTCTGCAAATCACATGCAATGGGACACTTGCAAGTGTCAATTGTAATAATGGAAATAGCAGAGGACAATTTGTGCTGTATTTCAGCGTGTACATTTACATTGCTGCACTTTTTTTCTTTTTTCCAACCAACTGGTCTTCAGGTTATTCTTCCCTGTACGTCACGTAACACTAACATTGCAAGCTAAGTCACACGACAGCATCGCATGGCTTTACTTACTATTTAATGTTGTCCTTGACCTTTAAAAAATGTGCTCTCCTGGTCCAGTTCTGGAAGAAACACAGAAGGGCAAAAAGTGTCCAGAATTCAGCAGTGGAAGCCTCTCCACGCTTGTATTTAATTCCCCTGCAAGCTGCTATAGCAGGACACAATCTGTATCTGTGCCTTCTACCACTTGAGAGACTCATTCCCAGGGAGCTCCTTCTGACCTTCATGTTTTTCACTTAGTAAATTGTGTGGCCTGTGCTCTCACTCAAGAAATTAGTTTCTCTGTCATTTGCATCTTGAAAGCAGTTACAACCTGACACCCCCCTGCTGACTTCCAGCTCTTCTGTAGCTCTTCTCTGTATTGTCCCATGACACTGTCATCAGTCCTAGACTACAAAACTAAACAGTACAGATGCTGACTCTGTGGGCTCCTACAGAGCTGGCCCTTTTCAGATGCCTTTAGGGCAGGATGGCAGCACTCTGGCTACTAAATACCACCATGGCTTTTGGTTGCAGAGATGGGACTGTCAGTGGAGTTGTTGCCTATGCCTGAAACTGAAAAACAGTCTGACCAAGATGGGAGCCTATGCCACCAGACAGCTGGACCAGAACAGTTACTCCAGGAAGAAAGACTTGTAAGGGACAAAGCAGCACAAACACACGCTGGCTGCAATGGAAGGGAGATACATGATTTCTCCATGAGTTCCATTTGTCACAACTGCATTCTTGCACCCAAAGTGCAGCACACTGACACACACACACACACACACAGAACAGGTTTGTGAACTGATCAAGTGCCTGCTTACCCACTCTGCAGTTTCCTTATTCTAGTAGTGATGCTCGGAACATCAAAAGATTCTGTTCTCTGAGGTATTGCTGGAGGTCACAGTGTCTCTGGTCTTCTTTTAGCATCTTCTCATGTAAGCGATCTCTGTTCTGGAACACTTTCCTTTTGGCAGCCTGGTGATGCTTTTGTTGCCTGTCCTGCTCCTCTAAGTCTTGAGTCAGCATTGTCTGCCGTGACTGCATTCTGTTCCTCAAAAAATGCTACATTAAAAAAAAAATGACACTTGCAATTGTGCAGCCAGCTTTAAGTCTGAATTTCACCCACAGTTATCACTGGAATAATGGCATAATTGATTCATTTATTATTTATATTTATTAATGACATGTGGGTCAGCAAGTCTGTGGATGAAATCAAGCGGATTGGTCAGCTGATACTTCAGAGGGATCTGGATGGGCTCAGAAGGTAGGCTGATGTGGACCTCATGAAGTTCAACAAGTCCAAATGCAAGGTGGCAGCACTTGTGTCAGGACAATCCCAAACATCAGTAGAAACTGAAGGCTGAACAGACTGACAGCAGCTCTACAGAGAACTTGGCAACACTGATGGAATAAAAATTGGACATGAGCCAGCGCTGCCTGATTGCAGTCTGGAAAACCAACTGTGTTCTGGGCTGCATCAAAAGATGGGTGGCAGCAGGGGGAGGGAGGTGATTGTCCTTATCTACACTGCCCTCGTGAGGCCCAATCTGCAGCACTGCATCCAGGCCTGGGGATAGTGGCACGGGCTGCCCAGAGAAGTTGTGGATTCTCCATCTTTAGAAATATTCAAGGTAAGGTTGGATGGTGCTTTGAGCAACCTGATCTATATGAGATGCCTCTGCCATGGCAAGAAGTTAATCTAGATGATTTTTAAAGATCCTTTTCAACCAAAACCATTCTATGATTCTATGATAATTCTTTGTATGCAGGAAGACTACTTCTACCACAGATACAGATTAAATTCCTATCTTTAATCTTGTTGCACGTTAAAGAAATAATAATTTTCATATACGTATCTCCAAATGATACAATTATACTGGATATACAGGAGAGAAAGATAAATACTCTAGATGGTGCTACTGCTGGAAATACAGCACAGCTAAAACTTCCTTGAAATTTCCCTTACCAGCCTTTCTTTTTCTTGTTCAAAGCTGCGCTCATTGAGTTCTGCAAGAAGATTCTCTCTCTGCAGTCGCTGTGTATGTAGGAACTGCAGCCTCTGACTTAACTTTCTGTTCTCCTCCTCTGCCAAGAAGGATTCCTTCTTGCTCCTCTCTGATTGAGCAGCTTGCAGCAGTGCCGTGTGCTGCAAAGCTCTGTTTTGGTGCTCCAGCTGTTTCTCCAACCCTTGCAGTGTTCTCTGATACAATCGCTGCCTGTTTACAAAACAAAATTTCTCAGAAAATAAAAGCAATCAAAGAACAAGTGCATAAGATGTTAAGCAGACATTCTGGCCAATAGAGAGAAGTGACTGTGTCCCCCAACACCCTTCTCTGCCTTGGTGAGGCCCAATCTGAAGGACTGTGTTGAGGCCTGGAGCCCCAGCACGAGAAGGACATGGGAGCCGCTGGAGCAGGTCCAGAGGAGGACTATGAAGATGTTCAGAGGGCTGAAGCACTTCTCTTATGGAGAAAGTTGAAGGAATTGGAATAAAACTGGAAAAGAGAACGGTCTCGGGAGACCTCATTGCAGCCTTCCAGTACATGAAGGGAGCTTATAAGCAGGAGTGGGACCAATTTTTTTTTTTTCATACAGTCTGATAGTGATAGGACAAAGGCATTCCTAAAAGAGGGGAGATTTAGGTTAGATGGTAGGAAGAAATTTTTACTAAGAGGGTGGTGAAGTGCCAGCACAGCTGCCCAGAGAAACTGTGGTGCCCCATCCCTGGAGGTGCTCAGGGTCAGGTTGGATGGGGCCCCAGGCAGCCTGAGCTGCTGGGAGTAGCCCTGTCTATGGCAGGGAGTTGGAACGAGATAAGCTTTAAAGTTTTCTCCAACCTAAACTATTCTATGATTTAAATATTCCAGGACTCTTTGTTAAGTTATGAAGGTTAAACCTGTATCCTAAACAGAGGCAGCAAACTCTCCAGATGGGCTGGTACCTGATGTTGTCAGCTAACTGCAGTCACGTTCACATGAATGCATAACCTGGTAGGGATGTTCTTGGTCCTGAAGAGCAGGAGTGAAGGAAACAGACTGTAGGGACAGAGCTATAGGGAAAAGCCAGACACTGTGTAGCTTCATGTATTGCTGGTGATGCCACAGCAGCAACAAAAGGGATGGAAAGAAATAGGCCACAGCAGCAAGGACCTGCTAAGCGTAATGGCAGTGGGTAGGGGAGGCAAAAGGACTCCAGCTCTGAGGATGAGATCAAAGGGAATTTGCCCTCAAGCTGATGCTAAAAGGCTACAGCTGGTTTGCACCTACTCATTCATGCACCAAGCACCAATTCATTCCCATTAATGAATCTCCCTGAGTGCCCTGCAGAGACTAGCATAACATGCAATGTTCAGAGAGTGAATGAGAATGCAAGGGAGTGGGCATTGTCAACCATTTGATATTTATTTCCAAAAAAAACCCACCAATTGGCTCTGGTTACCTCTGGTTGTTCCTGCGCAGCTGACATTGGACAGCATCTGCCTCCTGCTGCTGCTGCCTCTTCAACTGCCTCTCTTCCTCTTGGTGTCTTTTGTGCTCAATCTTGGCCTTGTTGAGGTCCATCTCTTCCCATCTCTCCTGAGATGCACTGTTACGCACAGATTTCTAAGAAAAAAATGTATTACAGATTCCTTATCAGATATTGTTAGAAACAGAAATACTTGCCTCCCTCCGAGCAAACACAAATCCTCCTGCAGCTCTAACTCCCTGTTGCCCAAGATTTCTGCCCATAGTCAAGAAGTCTTGCTGTTTTCTTCAGTAGTAGCCACATTCCAGTACTGGGCAATGATCCTAATATGAATTTTGAAATACACTCCGTTGCATGAAGGAGCACTCACGAGGCTTCTCTTCACAGATACAGTGCAATATTTAGTTCTGTTATCCTTATAATGTCCTAGGTGAGGTAAACAGCAAGGAAAACACCAAGACTCAGATGTGTTCTAGTTTAAATTTCTATGTGTAATGCTATAATGTGATGAAAAGTACAGCAATGATAGCAGAGTGGGCAGGAATCTCCAGCAAGATCCCTTTACCTCCACTGACAAACCTTATATGAGGTCTGGGAAGTGGTGGATCCTGGCTCGAGCCCTTCTGGTCTCTCAGGTACATTACATGCACCTGAGCTCCCCTGGGTTGGCCCTGCCTTCCCACCAGGTGCTCAATCACTGTCTCAGGCCATGACTTAACATTTCTGCTACACCATGGCTGTTTAAAGCTAAAATAAAGTTTACACAAAATACTCACTCTCTCAAATGCATTTTCCCTTCTACTCCCAGCAGCAATTGGCATGTTCCTGCCATTAGCCACTCTTCTGCAAACAAAATGTCTCCCTCCAGTCCTTTCTGGAGAACATCTCTAATACCACGAGCTGGGAAATGCTACAGGGCCTTCAAATCATGTCCACTGCCTCCCTATTATTACTGTCCCTGCCAGTCTCATTATAGGAAAGGCTCTCAGAAATGCTCAACACAAATAGCAGAAGTGCCCAGTTCCTGTACACCACTGAATCTTAAGTGGACACCTTGCCCTTCCACTTATGCATAAACATTATTCTGCATGTGCATATTTTTTGCTGCAGCAAAAATCTTTGGGAAAGAGATCAAATGGGAGTATAATCTCACTTGACATAAACAAATCACCCAATCCTAATAGCTAAAAGCTATGGATCAAATACTTACTGAAATGCTTTTGTCTTTTAGAAGATTTAGATTTGTGAATCTCCCAGCTTGTGCACTGGAGGTACTGTGTGGTCTCAGTACATGCAGGGCTGATTCGATGGCCAGGCTGTCTTTCTTTAGTGACTGATGCACTTGGTCAAAGAAGCTTTGTCGCTGGAAAGGACACAAAGCACTGGCTCCCACAGAAGTGCTCCTTTGGGAAGACTGAATTGGAGCATCTGCCACTCTGGTCTCAAAAAGACCTTTTAAATAAATTAGAGCAGGGACATATCAAGTTATAGGTAGCTTATAAAAAGAAAGAAGATTTAAAAAGTTTTTTCACATGAGATATGTTCAAGCAAGACTTTTATAACAAGTATCAATGTTTTCCTCTGACAAAACAAGATATTTCTTAGTCTCCACAGAACAGGTCCCAGTGCTCCAAAAAACAAGCCTGCCATTGCAGTCAAGCATGATTTTTACAGGATCACTTTAATACAAGATAATTGACTACACTTACAGCTACTCAGTTTAAGAGTTTATTTACATGTTACTTTGTGGACAGCCACGAGATTCTTCTGCCAGTGTCTAAAATAGCCAAAAATTATAAATATCTTGATAGTCCAAAGCCTGAGCTATGAATCCTGCTGAGAGACAGGAGAAATCAGCATGTGCACAACACTGCTGACACAGTTCCCTAGCTTTTGGGTAACTGAGTACATGGGCAGAGTTTGCTTGAATCTTCCCAATAAAGACAGTGTAGATTGAGACAGCAGTTGTTGCATGGAATAATGCAGGAACATCAGCTGGGAGGAAATACAACCTTACGTTTGACTGCATTCTCCCTCAAACAGCACTGACACTGAGCACTACGAAAGCTGTAGTACTTGGAGAAAGCTTTAAGCCTTCAGAAACCTTAATGAAATGCCTGCATTTATCCCCAAACTAGCTTAAATGAGAACAGTACCAACTCAACTGAAATCATGATCCAAAACCTTTTGAATGATAAGGGAACAACAGTGACATTGTAAAGCAAAAATTTTCAGCACAAATAAGAAAAGGGGTGTTTCCTGTAGAATGATTCTGGTGAAATCATTTTGCTATCTGCAGTCATAGCTAACACTACAGATGACTTTTAAAGCAAGAATTTTTTTTAAATTAATAATATTTGTAGTAAAAGTCACAATAAAAGTTAAGAAAACCCCAAAGATGCCGCTGTAATTGCTTCAAAGGTAAAAAAAAAAAAAAAGATAAAAAAAAAAAAAAAAAAGAAAGAAAACCAAACCCAAATCACTCCACCTTCCATCTGGAAATAGTTTCATGCTGAGAAAAAAAAGAACATCTCAAGCCAAACTACCATTATATCTAGGATGGCATTGACATTTTCTTTCAACTCATTGAGAACTACGGCAGTAGAACACTGTGGCCCTCCACAATGATTCTGTGTGAAAAACCTTATGTCTGGATAAAATAGCTACAATTTCACTACCATGTTTGTGTTTAAAATGAGCCTCAGTTCCAGCATCCTGCTGTCTGCTTCCTGCTTCTTCCTTGTGGATTGACTCCATCAACCAGCTGTCTGTGTTGACAGCAGTATCAACCATTGTAGCATGAGCCATCTCCCTCTGAGGATTCTAGAAATATGAAGAAATGCAATCATAATCTGACCTGATGAGGAGTAAGTTAGCTTTGTGAACTTAGAGTGAAAGATCCTATGTTGCAACTGAAGTTTGAGAAGAATTAAAACAAATGGGGAGGAGTTCTTCACTAAAGAAATAAAGAACCCTTAATTTCTGATCATGTTTCTGTTTTCTCCATGTCTTCAAATGACCTAAACATTGGCCTGAAATTGTCTAGAGGGGCACAGAAAAGATCAGGCCAGGGGAGCTCTGACTGGAAGGCAGCTGCATTCCAGCTCTCACAGAGTACTGGGGGAAAGCTTGGCAGTAATTGGTGCACATTAACCTCCTCCTTCCTGATCTCCACATCCAAAGTCATTAGTAATTTTCTGATTTTCTGATATCAAGAACAGAAAATGTAAGCTAACAATAAATAAATTATACACATAGCAGGCTACATGTTAAGAGATAGTATGAAATACCTTTTACCTTCTTAGGGCCTAAAACCTCACTGTCCTCTTCCAAACAAGGCTGAGCATCTTTTGAAAGATTTTCTGTCATCAAACTCTTCTCTTCATTTTCCTCTTCCTCTCTGGAAACACTTCCTGAAGGGGACATCCTCACTTCAGACAGTTGCTCTTCTATTTTCTTGCCGAGCTCTTCTTTATTCAAGGATGTTCCTGGGATGAAGAAATTTTCTTGCTGCACTTTGTGCTCCGTAGGCTGTGGGCTTTTGCAGGCTGCAAGGCAGCAGTGGGGGACTAAGGTACACCTACAGCTGCACTTCGTGCATGGCTCAAATGAACACAACACCCCAGGCCAGCAGTCCAGCCCTGAGTGGCCCCGTCTGTAATGGCCTGAAGCTCTGTAACCTGGTGTTACAATGTATGGGTAGTCCAAGCTTGACTCCACCACCATCTGCCTGGCTGCCAATGGCATCTGCAGTTCTAGGATGATGCGCTCACTTAAGGGCAGAGGGATCCACAGAGCTTGGTCAGAAGATACCTCCTTAGTTTGCCCATTCCAGAAATTCACAAGCACTCCCTTTCTATTGTGTGCTGAGCACATTAAAAAAAGAAAAAGAAAGGAAAGACAAAGAACATATTAGAAACATATCAACCTGTATGATGTCTCTGTTAGAAACCAGACGATAAAAATGACTGCTTGTGTTACAGACAATTTTGTTACAACTTATGAGAGCTTTTTTACTTAGAGGTTTAGAACTTGACCTTTTGAATTTCCTATGAAAAGATACACAACAGCAAAACTCCCACTAGTCACAGTGAGCCAGGAGCTTACTCCATAAAAGCTGGAAACCAGACTAACAGCTTATCAGTGAAACTCACGAGAGCCAGGAATATTTTTCTCCTGGTGTTGGCAGGACCCCCCTCTCCCAACAAAAACCCTCAGTTTAGGTTTCCATTCACAGAAGAAAGCAAAGGCTGGTGCTGGGAGCTGAAAAAGTTTGCCCCACAAACCAACCAGGAAGAGAAACCAAGCAGTTGGAGAATTTTTCACAGTTGAGACTGTTCCATCTTTTCTACATAGCGGCCATCAACTGTGGCAAGACTAGTGCTTGTAAGGAAGGCAGTACCCCATACCTAAAGGTGTCTTCTTGTTCTCCATAACCTTGAGCACAGTGCCTGGGCCAAAGCGTTCAGTGTTAGCCTCCCATGGGGCCAAGACTCTGTCTCCTGGAGCAAGGCACCACTGCGAGGCATCTTTGTAGTGCAGAATGTCGTAGAGAGGTGTTTCCTGCATACGAAGCTGCACCTTGCCTTTCAGTGTGCAACTTTTGTCAAATTCAATTAAAAAACATTCCCTGGAGCCCTACAAGAGTAAAACATGCAGTTTGCAAGACAGACATCTGGGTCCAATTAATGGCCAAACACAAGTGCTAAAAGGGAAATGGCAGAAATCCCAGGAAGCAGAATGTGATCTGTGAATGTAGTTGTTCTCTACCACCAGGTTTTTCACTGTATTGTATCCATATTGGATTTTAAAAGTAATTAAAAAGCTGTGGCTTAAGGGTCTTGACAGCCTTTCTCTTCCTTTCTTTTGGGACTTAGATTTTTAGTAGGTTTACCTGGCTCAGAAGAACACAATTAACACTCTGAGGAAGAAGCTCACCAGGAAAATCATCCATCAGAAGAGCAGCCAAAATGAAGTACTAGGTATGCTGCAGCTAGTGACAAGAAAGCAAAAGGATAAGAAATGAGGGAAGTGTCACAGCTACCATAAACTTGAATGCCTTCACTTAAGCTTTCAGCAATGGGTGTGGGGCAGATTCTACTGCCAAAATCTCAGTCTTCTCTGTAGATCTGGGTGCATTTACATGCTGATGGCCAACAGCTATTCCATCCCTGTACTAGGATCGCTATTTATTTAACTGAACTGTGAACTGGAAAAATGAATTGGATTTTTAAAGAAAGACTGCAGGGGACATTTTCTACCCAGTATCCTAAATCATGTCACGGATTCCAGAAACACAGAAGGAAGAGATCAGTGAAAGCCCTCAGTTCAGTCAGGAGAAAGCAGTTTGTGGAGGTGGACATTTTGAATTACTATTCCAGTAGACAACTGGGATATGAAGGACTTGTTTAGTTTGACTGTCTCATAACCAAGGAAATTGATTGATTTCCAGGCTGCTGCTTCTTGCAAAACTCTTCCCAGTAAATATCCCATCGTCATCAGAAAAAAAAAAGAAAAAAAAAGATGAAAATAAGATATGGGGAAAGAACTGTGCTGTATCACAGGAGAGCAACTCTGCACCAGGGTTAGGGGGCTGGCAAGCCATGGCAAGGGCAGGAAAAAAGACTCGCTTAACAGTAACTACCTTCACTTCTTGTGCGATGTGGCCCAGGTAGTAATAGCCATCAGCTTTCCTCCTTGCCAGCACACGAGCCCCCCTTATAAAACTGGAAGCCTCTGGGGACGAGTGAATAAAGCTCCTTTTTGCTGAGGATACCAAGGACATACAAATGGAATCTGGGTTCCATGTGCAAACAGGAAGGCTGTAGAAAGCAAATACAAAGAGACCCCAGTAACAGTACTTCTGCAGCTTGGTGTAATGAAAACAAACCAAACCCATATGAGATCTCTCCAGCCTCTGTCCCTCATAGCTGCCTTTGTTTCCCAGCTTTTTTCCTTCTCTGCATGTGACTCATCGACAGCTTTTGAACTTACTGTGTTAATGGACATCCTGGCAGCACAGAGCCACAGAGAGCTTTATTGGCTGTGTGACAACATCGGACATGTGAGGTGGGCATGGAGATTATCTGGAGGTGGAAAGAAGATGGAAGCACAATATGAGCAATATGAGGCTTTTGAACACTTAAATCCCTAAGCAGCAATGTTACTTATAAAATGGAAATTGCTTTCCAGTGTGGTACTTCTCTCTGATTTAATTATCACATCATTTCTTTTGCCATGCAATGCTGTTTAGCTGTACTCTCATCACTAACAGCCTTGATCTTAAGAAACCAAATAGTGGAGCAATGTGGCGTGGGGAGCAGTCACCTAGAAAAGAAAGCATACAACCAAGGCCTGGCACTTGTGCTTTCCTCTGGCACCTTCAGCTGCCAGTGACAACTCCTTGCATGTGCTGGTTGGCAGAGTTCCCTGGAGCCACGTGATGGCCCTGCAGAAGCAAATACTGCTAGGCCAAGTTAAACCTGGATTTGACCCCAAGTGTCTGTGACAAAGCCTTTTGCTTAGAAGCTATGGGGAATGTTACCTTTCCTCTCAGACAAAGACTTCAGGTACAAGTAGTGTACAATTAGAAGGGTGGCTATGCCAACATATTGCCTTAGGCCACCACAGAGATGCCAGATTTACTTAGTTTATAAATTACCAGGCAAAATAAGGCCACTGGAGCTCTCCTCCAGTTCTGCTAGACGAAATGTCATCCAATAAAGGTTCAGGAGGGATAACCAATATGCACTGTACCTTTGCAGATGCAGCAGGGGGGACTCTGATCACTTGAGAGGACCCCCCACTTTGTCTGGCAACTTCCTCCATGATTTGTTGCTTGCCTTCTTCACAGGCAGAATCTACTGGACACAGCCTGTTCTCCACAAGAAACTGATGATTTCTTCCTACTCTGCAATTGTGTCAGTGAACAGCTACACAGGCGGGTGGACTGTGGCTCCAAACATTGCAGCTAGGCTATATCCTTGCAGAGTAATGCAGGTATACAAGGAATCCATTCTGCACAAGTTCCTTAGGCAACATTAGGAGTTGGCAACATCAGGGAGCTGGATGTGCTGACTCAGAGAAACAGCAAGGAGAGTGAAGTGAAGACAATGACACCAGGCTCTATGATACCATGATCGGGATGGGAACTTGATGGTACTATGGAACTGATAAGCCTCACTTTTGCTACCCTGAGCCAACAGTCTGCCATTCTTTGACAAAACACCATCCTCTGGTTGAACTTTATTCATTGTACCCTCATTATGAAACCAAACCACGCCTCCACCCCAAAAGCAACCTGCCTCCAAGGTGCAAGCACCCCCTCTGAATTTCTCTGTAACTTTAAGAGCAAGGTGAGAGAATTTTACACCATTCATAAACAAAGACACGTATAACTGGAGTCATTTAAACTCCATGTGAAAAATAAATAGGGAAATAATAGTACAGAGATGGCTTAAGAGAGGGAAGATGTCAGGAAAGACACCGTTGGATAGCTCTAAGATTAGTTGATGGGCTGAGGGCTCTCTTCCCTCCACAAGGACACGTACTGGCACTTCATCAGGAAACTCACAAATCTCTATAGCGTTGCTTTTACAACTTAATGTGAAAGCGCTCACCTGGGCGAGATGTGAACTCCCTGATCGGGCATTTCCGTACCTCCCCAGCTCACAGCAAGGAGCTCCCTGCAGCCGAGGCGGGGCTCAACGGTACAGCAGGAGCCCTACAGCTCAGCTCCGCCGTGCTGGGAGCGCCCCAGGCCGCCTAGCAGGCGGGAAGCCCCGCAAGATGCAACTGAGGGCCGCCAGGACAGCGGCGGGCCCGCATTGGGCAGCCCCGCACTGGAGCGTCCGCTCCCCGTTGCTGCGCGACCAGACGCCGTGGGCTGCACCAACCGCGTCGCGTGGAGGGGGGGAAAGGCCGAGCTTTTTCTTCATCTCCCTTCTCAAACCGCCTCCTCCTCGGGTGAAACACCCGCTGCAGAGCCTGGAAGGTGCCTTCGCTCCTTCCCACGTATCCCCTGTGGGAGATGTCAGCTCTTCAGAGCCGACTGCCACACCCGTGAGCGAGATGCTACCGCCTACGACCCTCCCGCCCGCCGCTCTACGTGAGGCGGATCGGACCGATCAGGATGGCCGTTGCTTGGTGGGGAACGAGCCAATCGGGGAGGTCGTTGCTCGGTAAGGAGAAGCAGACCAATCGGAGAGGCCGTTGTTGGTAAAGGCAGAGCGGACCAATTAGGGAGGTTGCCGGGCCATCGGCTTGTGACATTGGGGAGCCGCCATGCTGGCGTCGCTGGGGCGTTCGGCGGGACGGCTGCTGCGGGTCGGCGGCGGCGCGGCCGGGAGGCGGCAGTGAGTGGGGCGGAACGGGGAGAAGGTGGGCAGCGGGGCCGGGGCGAGGAAGGCTGAGCCGGGAGTGAGGCCGCGGCGGCGCGTTTGTTGCAGTGCGGGCGGCGACGTGCACATCGAGCCGCGATACCGGCAGTTCCCGGAGCTGACGCGGTCGCAGGTGGTGTGGAGCGAGCTGCTGAGCGGCTTCATGTGGTTCTGGATCCTGTGGCACTTCTGGCACAGCTCGGACAGCGTGCTGGTGAGGCCCGGCGTAGCGGCGGGGGCGGTGGGTCCGTGCCCGGGGCGGGATCTGAGGCCGTATCGTGGCGCAGGGCCATTTCCCGTACCCCGACTCCTCGGCCTGGACGGATGAGGAGCTGGGCATCCCGCCCGACGACGCCGAGTAACCGCAGTCGCAGAGGTGAAGGTAGGGGCGGGTTTTGTGCTCTCACCGTCTCTCCCGGGGCGCTGTGTTGAACGGCTGCAGCTGAAGGCGGCAGGGTGATGCTGGGGTCTTCCCTGCCCTCGGCTGTGGGAGAGGCTGGCCGGAATGTTCGTGGGAGTTCAGTTCGGTTCCTTGCAGGTCTGTGGAACTGTGGAGGCCCTGGAACTGATGCTTTGCTCTGCTGTCCCGGTCTCAATAAAGTGAGCTTTTGACAAATGCTGAGCTGTGTGGTGTTGTTGAGTGCTGTAAATGTCGTGTTCCTTTTCTTCAAGAGGTCTAGAATTGGGGTGTCTGAGTCCAAATGAGCCTATTTCATCCTTGTGAAGCATTTAAAGTGTGCCCCTCTAACTGAGGTGATACATCCTTTGTTCAGGCAGTGACTTATAGCTCGCATGAATGCATGATAGGGAAGGACTTAACCACTGAGCGTCTGCCAGCCACTAGAAGAGGCAGCAAAACTTTAAATTAGTTTTTCTACAGTTCTAAAAGATTTCTTACTGAGACCTTGTCATAAAAACCAACCTTGAGGCTTGGAGTAGCAGTTGCTGCAGGAGCAGGTGCAGCTGCCTGAGGGAGAGGGGAAGGTGTGCCCAGCTCTCCTTAGGTTGAGAGGGAATCTCCTTCAGGTAGCAGGAATCCAGCACTAATGCTGAGAAGTAAATGTGCTGAACACAGCGTTCAAGGAATCACAGAATCATAGAATGGCCTGGGTTGAAAAAGATCACAGTGGTCATCTAGTCCCAACCCCCCTGCCATGTGCAGGGTCACCAACCACCAGACCAGGCTGCCCAGAGCCACATCCAGCCTGGCTTTGAATGCCTCCAGGGATGGGGCATCCACAGCCTCCTTGGGCAACCTGTTCCAGTGTGTCACCACCTTCTGAGTGAAAAACTTTCTCCTAATATCTAACCTAAACCTCCTCTGTCTCAGTTTAAAACCATTCCTCCTATCACTATCAACCCATGTAAACAGCCATTACCCCTCCTGTTTATATGCTCCCTTCGAGTACTGGAAGGCTGCAGTGAGGTCTCCCTGGAGCCTTCTCTTCTCCAAGCTAAACAAGCCCAGTTCCCTCAACCTTTTGTCATAGGAGAGGTGCTCCAGCCCTCTGATTGTCTTAGTGGCCCTCCTGCATAAGGAAGACAAATGGAGGAGTGTTACTCTCTAGGTTCCCCCCCTCATATATGGCCAGACTTATGTTCCAAACTAACCATACAGAAATAAACTTTTATTAAATTACCTGTGGAACACCATGAAGAGAGTGACTTGGGAATGATCCGATAAACAATCTCCTTCAGACTTTTCCATGCAGTCAATCTTTATTATAGCAGTATTCTCATATTCACATCAAGTACATAGAACTTTTTGCCTTTTATATAATACAGAGTTCTTTAAATAACTTTACACAGAAATAGTTTTCTTTAATCTGAATTCAGCTATCAAATTTTAATATGTTTTAAGTCTCCATGCTCTCTAACCAAACTGGACAATATTTCCCATTGTACAAATTTACATGAGAAAAAACTCCAAAATACAAATGAAGGGACAACAAAAGTAGAGGGGAAAGGAACAAACAAGAAAAAGAAGTTGTATTGGCAATTACAGGGGAGACTCGAGAGGGAAAGAAGGGGGGTTGCCATGACCTTCTATGTAACAGAAAACTGAAAATAAACATTTTGTTATGAATTAGAAAATAAATACAAGTTTCCAAACAATTACTCCATTGTAAGATTTTTAAAAAGCAGCTATGGAAATCTACTAACACAGTTGCTTTTTTTTTTTAAGTAACTGGACTGGACCTTTTACTTTGTCATCGTAAGCCCCTCGCAAACCTCTGGTGGTCAACAAAACACAGCTGAAAGGAATGTTGTGTTAGCACAGTTCAAATGGGTGGGACGTACGTTTCATTGCACTAAGAAACAAAGAAATCAGATCTGTATATGAATTTCCCTTTCCTCTCCTTACTAGTTTGCCTCCCATAAACAAGCCTCTATATTATGAGGTAATGCCAATGTCTTGACTATATATAAAAACAATCAAGTTTAAAGGATATAGATCTCTGTATCTATAAACTTTAAACGTGCCAGTCCTTTCTTACTTCCCCACAGGATCCAACAACCAAGTGCAACACCTTCCATCCCCGTTTAATAAAAGTATGCAGTAGGCCTCCTGCAGAACTCCGAGTGAGACTGCTGCACCTTTCCTAACCTAGGAAAAGCAGCACACGCTCAAGTAAGAAAGAGACAGTGCAACCAGTGCACAACTGGTTACAAGCAGGTATACCTGCTCCTTCAAAACAAGGCAGAGTCACAGAAGGCAACAGTGGCCAGTCTGCATGTTTGTTTTGACAGAGGGAAACAGGGATCCAATGAGGCAGCTGATGACTGATGACTTTTTGCAGGTGCTAAAGTGTCATCTGTCCAGCCCTGGGAGGCCACCAGGAGAGCTGTGGCAGGGTGGGGAGTCATGGGCAAAGGGCTGGCAGGGGAACCCTATGGGCAGCTGTGGGGACTGCAGAGCAGATGGGCCAGCTCCCTTACCTGAACACCTGCAGACCTGCTCTAGCAACACGGGCTCCCAGAGGAGTCTCAAGGGTGGCAAGCAGCAGGGAGCAGGACTTTACCCCAGTCCCAGCAGCTGAGATGGGAAAAAAAGCAGCAGTGTGATTTGGGTTGCCAACACATGCAAGTTGGCTGCTGCTGGGTATCTGTCAGTTGAGAAGGGTGGAGTGGGGAAAGAAGAGGAGACAGGTAGGACACAAGGCTCACGAAGGAATGATGTGCATTTTTGTTTTCTTTTTTTTTCTTTTTTTTTTTACCCCTAAAGGTTCACAGCTTTGAATAAAAAAGCACATTTATTGCACTTACATTTTATTTTAGACAGAGTTAATTTAATTTAAATTATGCCCTCACAATCCCCCACCATCCCAAAATAACCCAACACCCCAGTTTGGTCCATTTTGCACCCCATACCCAACATTTGTGCCCAGACAGTGGGCTTCGTTTCTTATGTTCCATTAAGCTCACAAACAGATTTTCTTTTCAACTATGGTGATTACACAAATGCAACACAGAATGACATTCAGCAAAACAAAAATTAACCATTTTCCAAACCCAAACGAAAAAGAACACGATCCTTTGCTTTTCTGTGATACTCCAAAGCCAATGTCACACAAGGCTTATTCTGAAGTACAGCTGCTGCAAATGCCATAAGCTGGACAAAAGGACTGGACAGGCCTCGGCTGGCTCTTAAAGGGATTGGAGGAGCTGAGCACACTGCTGCTGTGATGCTATAAAGCAAACACCTAGGCAGTTTAGAAGTTCTGAACACTCCCATCATTTCCCTTCTGTTGGAAAAAATAGGGAAATAACTTCCTTGTGATTTTGTATTTTAAAAAAAAAAGATAAAACACTGTATGTATACTTTTAGTGCAGAACTTGGGGTCAGTAAAAGAATTTCAGATAGTTCCTGCAGTTTTAGTAAAACATTTTTTTAAATTACACTTTGATTTCTAAAGGGAACAAAGAACAAGTTGAAATCAGCCTGAAATTTGTATGGGCTGTGCATTCAGACATAACTCTGCCACTTACAGTTAGGCCCAAAGTCTCACCCCAAAAAACAAAAGGAAAAGATCTGCAAAAGAAAAAGCACGAACAGCAAAATCCATTCTTTCATCCTTATGGACAAACAGGTCAAATAGGACACAGTATGTAGGTTCTGCCAGAAGCCTCAGTGAGCAGCAGGCTGCAATCTGAACAGCTCAGACTCTGACACACTGGCCGTCCCTCAGCTGACAAGGTACCTATTCTCTCCCAGCATCAATGCGCAATGCACAACACTTGGCGTTGTGAAAAACTGCAAGAGGCCTGAGGAAGAGCTAAGGAAACCTGCTGCTATTCCATAAAACAAAATTAATTGCACTTTCAGGGCCAGGGAATTCACTATTTCATTACATGAGTAGTAGCCATCAATTTCTCCTAATTTAGTTCTCATTTTTCACCTACTGTCTCATTCTATGACATATAATAATTTCAGCCCTCTCCAAATCTTTATATTACTTCCCTTTAACAGGATCCTTGTGTCTTTGGAGGGAAAGGAGGGCTTCTTTATTTTTTAATTTAAATTAACCTCATTTAGCTTTCAGTAGAGCAGATTTCAAATAGCTGTAATCAAGTTAGTATACTTCAGCTCCTAGCTCTGAAATGATTGTAGGCATTTTTGGGAATGTTCCCTGCTCTCCTTGCTCCTCTATAAAGTTTACCAACTCCAAACTGCCTATCTATATTAATAGCTATATACAAAACTACTGCATCAGAAGTAAACCAAAGCCACTGCCCCAGTTACAAAGCACCTGGTTTACATTCTGTTGTACTTTTTAGGTTGCAAAGGCACATGATCATTTGGCAAACTGCAAAGACTCTTCTGGGGGATCTTTACGTAAACCATTTAACAGGTCTTGATAGCTCTATTTTCTGAAGAAAAGGTACATGCCAGTTTTAAATAGAATTTGCCCTTGGTATCCTCTATATTCTGCAGTTTTTAAAAAGTATCACACAATTTCATAATTATTTAGTGCTGTCTTCGTGCTGACTTAGTAGCTTTTATGTTAGCATCATTGCTCTGCTCTTTCAATGACTTCATTTTCTAGGTAAGAAGTAATGAAGCAATGCCAAAAGATATTTAAAATGTATGCCAAAACAAACATGGAGTGCAAGCACACATTAACATGGCTGCAGTAAACAAGAGTTTCTTTCATGAACTTCTACATAAAACGAAGAACAGAAAACCCAGCACCTTCAAAGTGATGCCACTTTGCAATCCATTCATGCAACTGATTTTTCAGTGAACTTGATTGTACCTAGAAGCTTTGCCTGCCATATTGTGCTACTGGTGAAACGTTTTTCAACAGACAGAAGACACGTTGTCTACAGTACTACGGATAGTTTGTGCTACGCATGTTGTACTCACAGTCAAGAAAGGAATTACATTTACAGGCAGTAAAGGTGTGAGATGTCTACATACTTCTTCCCTAATCTAGCCCCTCCAGTTATCAAAACCTTAACATACAGCTGATTGTAGGGTTTCTGAGGACCTGGATTCTCCAAATACTCTGCAAAACACTGGAGGCGCACACAGAAACAACCTTATTTATGAACAACCTCTGGTGTTTCTTCCTTCTCCCCTGTTTGTGGAATTCATGGTATTTATCAACAGCCAGCACTGCATTCATTTTATGTTATAAAGGCCAAATTCTGCCTCCAATGAGCACATACTAGTCCAGGCAATTCTGGGAGGTCACAACAAGATAGCTCTGTGAGGCCTCAAATGTTCTGCATCACCATCAGCTACTAAAGCATTCCAGTACAAGAAAAGACTATTTTAGGTATGCATGAAAAATAGAAGGGGATTCATTTGATGGTACACATGAATTTAAGGAATAATAAAAAAATATAAAGGATTAATTCATGCAGAAATTACTTTCAAAATAACGAGGCCTTTGTGCTGATACTTTTTGGCTTACGCCTCGCCAGTGTTCCAGTTCCAGCGAATACGCCATAGGAAACAGTCACCTGCTGAAAAGGGAGATGGAACAGGTCTCTTCTAACTGTTTGGGAAGGCAGAGGGGAAGGTGTGTGTGGTGAATAAAGACCTCGTGAGTAGCTGGGACTGGGTACTGGTAGTTATGAAAACGTATTAGATACTGCAGTGCTGAAAGCAACGTGACTGTCTGCATGTTTGTCCCAACATCTGCACGCAAAATACACGCTGCCATTTCTCACACTACGGCACATGCTCGTGTTTGGGATGCCATAGAAAAGCGTAAGAAATTTGGTGCAATTGACGTGAATCCATTTGTCATTTCATTTCAATTTATTTCCTGCATTCCACTGCTATACAGGATCCCCAGTTCTTTTCTACTCATCTCTCCATTCACTAAAGATCTTCGGGGCAACTTTAAGACTGATTCTGATGGCATGCGAGACATCCATTACAATTCTTGAAAGATTTAAAAAAAAAAATTACAATTATTTACAAACCAAATTTCTTCCAAAGGTTTCCATGAGTGTTACGCGGGAGCTCTTATAGAGGAAACACAAAACTATGGGGAAACAAACATGAAAACCAGTAGAAACGCATCCTGAAATGACTTCTCTACACAGCAGCCAAACAACTTGCACATTCCTCAGGGAAAAATAAAAACAAACAAAACAGAGAAACAAAACAAAGAAACCCCAAATAAGAAAAACAACCAACAAGACAAAGACCATCTGTTACTTATAAAGTGCTTTGCATGGACAAGGAGAGCAATTTTCCTTGTGCTTTTCCTATGGGCTCAAGAAGCATACTGTAGACTAATGGGTAATGAATCTCCACAAAAATAAGTTCATTTTAAGCAAAGAAATTCCTAACAGTTATAGTTTAGCAGTTTTCTGCTAGCATGACCTCGTGGAAGGAAACTAGGGCTTTTAACAAGCTCTATGAAACAAATGACTCTTGAACTACCTGTACATAGTCGCTCAGATAATAGTTTCTTTCAAGAGAATATCAATTTCCAGTATGCCCTACACTTACAAACCAGGCACTGCCTACACAAGGGCTGACACAACGCACGGGGTGGCTTTGCCCTCCTGGAGCTCACACCTGGGCATGCTCCCGGCCTGCTGAGCACACGGCCCTGCATCGCTTCCACCTGGGCTCCGCACCATCGCTCACCTCAGCAGCTTCTCCGCACTGGGAAGTGGCTATTGCTACTATGGAAGTTCCTGCCAATCTCAATAAGGAGAAAAGCCTTACAGCATCTGAAGACCCACAGCAGACGAGAAAAAAATTGTGCTTTTTCTTTTTTTTTTTTTTTTTAAATGCATCCTATACACAAAGTCGATTCTATTCATGTACCAACATGAATCGCTTCATTCTTGTAGTGACTATTAAGTCATTTACTATTGCTGTCTTGCTAATGTTTGTGGAATTAATATGAATACACAGTATTTCAGTTATAATTCCCACTTCAGATTAGTCGGGTCCCTATAACCCCAGTAAATATTTACTGACAAAAAGAACAGACTACCAGCAACACCGCAGAACTCCGAGGCTTTAGAAACACATTCCACTACCGATGTGTGTTTCTCCCATAGCCCGGGAGCAGCGTTGTGCAGACAGGAACAGTCCAACTCCTTGCAAGGGAAGGACAGCGTCCTCGCCCTTTACACAGTTTAGTACGGACACCACATGACACACATTTAACTCCTTCATTTATTTGCCGTGATTTTGACTAACACCCTCCTCTCCCCAGGAACCTCCCAGCTAGAGGTGGGTCAGTTCTCCTGCCTCAGGTGGGGTGGTACAGGGCAGACAGGAATCAAGTCCTGAAAACTTCTGAGCTTGAATTTCTTTCTAATGTGGTCTGACTTGCCTTTGTACAAATAATTTACATGTAATACCACATACCAGAGAACTCTGCAAACAGATCACATCACAAGATATTCTACTAGAGGTAAACAATGTGCAGAATTGGATGAGTTATTTTCCCTGACTGGGTAACTTGTAAGAAAGCTACCGACCGTTTGAAAACCAGGACTGGAGGACAGGAAAACAGAGCACTCTAAAGTAGATACCGCCACCGTCATCCTAGTTTGCAAAGAGTACAAAAGGGAAAGACAAACGGAAGGGAAGGAGATCACAGGGAAGGAAGCAATGTGAGGAGAAGTAATCAGCGTGGATCCAGCAAGTACCGTTTTGTTTTGATCGCACAACTTGCCATGAGGACAAGATGCTCCACATTTACACACACACTTATCAGAGGACGTTTAGTTAACAGGATAAAAATCCTTTTTTTTTTTTTTTTAATTAAGAAAAAACCAACAACAACAACAACAGAAAAAAAAACAGCTCCTGAAAGTACCAAAACAATTTATGGAATGTCTAATTCTAGGGGGTTCTGTATTTGTATTCAATTCAACCTGAGAACTTTTTTCCTCAATTATGAAAACATTACATATTGGTAAGGTACCTGGCATTAACCTGCACCCTCATTTAAAATAAAACTTTTAAAGTAGGTACATACACCATTCACAGCCTGTATCAGGAATTTACAGACTTCAGATGCTGCGGTAGCATCTTTGATAAATATACTGTATCATAAGATACAAAGAAAAAAAAAAAAGGACAATCTCGCTACATTTTTTTTTTTTTAAACTTCAGTTTGTTGCTGGACCAACAAAAGAAGGATCTACGTAACCCTTCTAAAAGATGTTATATACGCACACACCAAGAAAATACTGGAAAAGGAAAGGTTAAAGTTGGTGGTTGTCGTTTGTTTTTTGAGAAAGTGATAAAGTAAATCTGAAAAAAAGTGCAGCAGCATCCCCTTTTCCTTCAGATGAATCTCTTCGCCTTCGGAGTAACACCACCTCCAGCTCCCACTACCCCTTACTTTTCAATTTTACTGGAATAGAACCCAAATATTTAGATAAAATTAGGCGTTTGACATTCTAATACAGTGAAAAGGGGATACTGCATTGTCCACAAACCAGTGAGTACACCAGGAAAAGAGATCAGAACAAAGGATGATTCTTTTAATTAGCACTCATCAGATATTCAGCCTCTGATGATACGTTGTTAGAGGGAGAAAGCCGACCGGCAGACCATCCAAAGCAAGTCTCCTAATTTGCAGCAGCAGCTCCATCCCCTCATGCCTGAGCACCAAAGTCAAACCACGAGCGCCCTCTCCTCTCTCCTGGGAATGATGCCAACAGCTCAGGCAGCCACTGCGGGTATCCGAATGCACGTGGTGTTTTGTGTTGAAGGAGGAACACTGGCAGCGGAGTATTCTGGTTCCTAAAAAGGTACTTTTTCCCATTGTGTTGGACTGGCAGTTCCATTCCGCTCCACTTTTAAGCTTATGGATATCTTTTCTAAATTATTTTAGGTTTGTCGGAGCAGAATAGAGTTTTGATGTTAAGAAACGGTAGGAACACAAGACTTAAATAACAGAGTGGGTGCTGCCATGGTGCTGTGGCTACTTGAACGCTGCAAATTCTCCTGTAGAGGGAGGACAAGAGCTTGGTTTAAAAAGTGATTTCTGTTATGAGGTGGTCAGAGATTTTCTCCAGACTAGTTGAACATTAGGTTGAATATAAAAGATGTTAAAAATGCAAACTGTTAAAATTAAAGCACAAAAGAAACGTAGTGAAAGAACACTGAATACAGACCCAACGTATTTTACTGAAAAAGAATTTCCTGAAAGCAAGCTATACCCATTCTTCCCAGGACAGAGGCAGTAAGATCAAGCAGAGACTACTTCATCATGCATTTAAAAATAAAATATGTCAATTACATTTCACTTTCAACTCCTTATTGCACATATATCCTCCTGAGAAGCAACAATTGCAATAAATGCATCAGACTGCAAACTACTTTCCATCCTGGTGTAAAGCTGGTTTAGTAGCAAAAAACTGTTTGACACACCCATTAACCTTTAAAGACTATATATAGTAAAGTGCCTTAAAATTAAACCCGTACTAAAGGATGCTGGAAGCTGGTACACAGACCAACATAGCCAACTGCTGTGAGAAAATGAAGACTGGTGAAACTGTCTGCTTACTCTGAGAGCAGAAATTAGGCCTCACTAACAAACAGGGAGCACAAGAAATAAAACGATCCTGTGCTCACTTCAGAACTATTAAATAAGCTGTAATTCTACACGTTTCTTTCACATGCAGTCATCTCATGGAAGTCTGTAGTTTTAGCCTCAGCACGCTACTGAACAGACTGGTAGTCACATGTCAGAGATGAAGGAACTATGGCACAGAGTAGAATTGCTGCCCGATGTTTTTAAGAAGTTACCAGAATCTTGAACAGAAGTTAAAACTAAGACAGTAATCTCCTCAATCCTGTGCTTTAGCCAAAAATTTTCCCTGCCACCCACAGAAATTGCATTCTACAGGGTGTGCAAAGATGCTTAACAAAAGGGCTCTACAGCGGAGTTAAAAGAAATGCACACATCACTTCCTCTTGCTGGGTCCCACATAAATTTTAAGTGTCCCTTTCTTGACAGGACTCCTCAGAGATCTAACAATAAAGGAGTGAAACAGACAGAAGAGACCCAACAGAAGTATGCCAACACTATCACATCCAAACAACTGTTCTCTATCTTGGTGTCTTTCCATCTTGTCAAGAGCAACTGTTTTCATTTTTCTCAAGAGTTTCATTATGAGTACTGGAAACAAACTGGAAACATCCCTTCAGACACAATCTTAGAGTGGCAGCATTAATTCCAAGGAATGTTTTATGTTATAAAGAAGGGAATCAAGAAAATAATCAGCAGCCTGTATGTGGAAGGGTGAAGAAAGGGAATCTATGGGCCTGGCAGGAAAAGCTGTTATAGCAGATATAAGCAAGAGAAAGCAAGTAGGGAGAGAGGAGAGGACCCAATGCCTCACAGGAGATGAGAAGGGAGTGCAACCAAGGTCTGCAGTAAGAGAACTGTGATGAATCTCAAGCTGAGTGTCCTAATAGTCTGTGGTGATAATTATAACAACATAAAAAACAAGACAAAACACCTTCATGATGAGTCTAATCCACCCCCTTCTCCTGTTTTGTTTTGTTTTAAATTTAAAACAAACAAACACATGCAGTTCTACCAACACATAAAACCCTTGCTCTAAAATACACTTACTATTTGGTGTTTTTGCTTCCTTCTCTTTGGCACATTTCACCAATTGCCTAATTCTCTTCACAGTATCTTCTAGTAGTGCTTCAATTTTTGTACTTCCCTTCCACCCATCCTTCCCTTCTTTTAAGAGAAGGACAAAGAAGTCATCAAGTATCACCTGTAAGACTAATACTTAAGAAGGACATTCATGCTTAGCTACACTTTCAAAACATGCTCTACTTATTTTCTCAGTCTGCTTTCCTAAACTGCTGATGAAAGATCAATTTATAAACAAGAGATCGCTCCCTCATTACTCATCTTGTCCTTCTGCCCGTTTCTAGTAATAATTCAGCTTTTAATAGTTGTACAGGGATTTCAGAAGATAAAAGATGAACCATTAATTAGGAAAGGGCAATGGAAAAACAGGAGAAGTCAGGAAGTATTTGAGACAGGATAGTACCTTTAAAAGTTGATTTTCAGAATTTTCTTTCGTTTAAATGAAGACTTAGCAAAAGACTTTGAGACAAGCTAATGCTAAACTAATCTCTCCTTTCAAAACTGAGGTGTTAACCTGCTCTCAAATTGATATGTGACCAAATAGGTAACATGTTCATCTAATAATGGGATTATGTACATTGAACATGCATAAAATGTGGATACCAGTAACAGCCTTCTCTAGATCAGGAATGTAGATGGCCATATCTATCTTCAACGGCTGCTTCAAAAGCAGTACTTCCAATTTTATGTTGGTGATACAAGCAGTAGACGTTGAACCTTCCCACCAATATTGCATTACACGTTGTTGCATGTGACAGATAGCAGCAGAGGGGCACTCTGACACAATAGTGTCTGACATGGAAGTGCATATGAAGCAAAGGTGCTGCTTAAATGCAGCAGCATTTAAGAGGATCTGATCCATCTAGAAGGTATCAAGACAGATTTTGTTTCAGTACTCCAATGTGAAGAAGAAAAAAGGGATCTCACATACTACAAATTACCCATTCAAGTAAGTCTGGTTTGTTAAAGACCTGTTTTCAGGAGCTATAGGTATTTATTTCTAAACAACAAAACTGAACTGAGTTGCAACTCTGAGAACAATGACCAAAATCCACAGGTTTATGTAGACATTTCTATACTGTATCTGTCCCAGGATTTAATTGAAGCGAGAATCATAACCTATGTAAGTTAAACATCTAAAAGCCTATATTTCAGATAAAGATAATGATCAACAAAACCAGACTTTTTTTAGGCTTCAAAAAATGCTTAGTAAGAAGCTAAGGTTATGTTATCATCATGGATCCCAAAGCATGCTTGATGTGTAAGAAAAGCAAGTGACACAGGAAGAATTCTGATGCAGTGATGACACAGAAGAAAATTGGAGAAAACATGTCCAAAGACAACATAAATTATAGCTCCAATAGCAATGAAGAGCTGTTTTTAACAACTAAGTCTACCCAAGGAATAATTTGCTTGAATTGAGCTGGCATACACAAAAAGATGCAGACTGGGCAGGATAGCAATGCATCTTCCATTACTCCCAGAGTGGTGAAGTGGGATGCCGCATTTCTAGATTTTCAGAAAATGCAGCAGCTCTCCTCTTGCTATTTACTAACATAAGCAATGCAGCCTGAACTAAATAGTACATCCCAACAATTAAGAAGCATTCCTCTGGACTGTCTAATATATATGTATAAAAAAAATAGTAAGAAGACAAAATAAAAAAGATCCTGTTTTCATTTTAAGATAGGCCTGTCAAAGCTACCAGAAAGCTGGGAAACAAACTTACTAAAACAGCAACAACTTGCATCCTTAAGAACTATTTCCATAAGAGAGAGTTTCAACAGATGAATTTTCTTGGCTAACACAAAGAGAAAAGTTAGTTCCAAAACTGTTCTAACAGTAGAAGCCAAGAAGACCATCAGAACATGGTCAGAAAGCGTACAGACTGCTTACACTGCTGTAAGCTCTTTAATTCTCCCGTTTTAAAAGGCTCAGTTTCCAGAAAGAAGCAGAAAGGAAAACCTTTGTGGAATTTCTTGATCCATTTCAAAAACATATTGCTAGCAACATGCAAGCTTCCCCTGTAAGTACACAATTCAGAAGCTATTAAGAACATTTCTGGCCATTTAAGTCCTAACAAGAGCAGCAATAGCTTGTTTCTGATGCAGAAGAATCTGTAAAGATGAACAGCTTAACAGTTTTAAACAAACAAAACCAATAATTAATTTCAAAATATGCAAGAACACAGTCATTAATAACACTACTGCTTGTTTTCGTATCTAACATCAAAAACTGATGTAACCTGAACCAGTACTCTGATTCACCTGTTCCACAGGAATGGTCCAGAGAAAAATAAAATCTTTCAAGTGAGGTGACAGGATCTTGATAAGGTTTCTAGCTTTCTCAGTTAGATATCTGGTCTAACTGATTCAATTTTAATCAACTAGCAGCTTTATATGGAAGTGAAAAAAAACCAATCACTGAACTGAAGTATGTGCTGTAGTATTATGAACAGTATTAAAAATTTTCAACTTAGCAGAATTTATGGTATAATACTGATTTTCATGAAAACAACTAATTTTCAAGTTTTCTTTTCCTGCTATGGGCGTTCGCAGCTTTTTTCTCTTGAAGTACTTGGCTATGCTCCAGACTTGATTTTTTTTTTCTTTCTAACTTCAAAAGTGAAGTTCTTGCTAATTGAAAGGCAGAGGAGCCATTGCCAGTAATACTCTTGCAGCTCAGCAAAAGCAGAGATTCAGAATTTCTTCTGTGTTGCATTGTAATAGAACACTTTGAGATAGTCTAAACTATGACAAGTCAGAGCATTAAGGAAAAAATAAAAACTAAAACAAAACAAAAAACCCAGCCCCCCTCCAAAAAAAACCAAGCCACCACTCCTCTACAAGAAGAGATTCTCTACACAGCTCTATTTTAAAACCTTAACTTTCACAAGAGTCACACATCACTAAGGTCTTTCTTTGGAGGCTATGTGCTTCTCCTCACTTCTGCTAACAGCAAGAAGTTTAAACTGCACTCAGCCTTGCAGCTAGGTTCAGTTCTCCAACTGTTTCCCACATATGAGTAGCTTTATTAACAAAAAAATCTAAAGCCTTATGCTCATAAATAATGACCTCAATTGGAAAAAAAATACGTTTTTTGAGTAGATTAACAATAAATATACTCTTATGTAACTAATTCTAATCAATAAACCAGGAAAAAATGACAGCCAATAATCTTTAGAAGAGTTTTGCTTATTTTGAAGTGACTTTCCCCATTTCTCTTCTAAGTAACCTTCTAATTCTTCTCGTGCCAGCTGTTCCCAAGACATTCCTTACCAGCACAGACATGTGCTTTGGACATTCAATGCCCCATGTAAGGAAATGAGTCTTCATTTCCTCAGTAAACCTTAAAAAGTCGCTGGTAGGAACTGAGAACGTACATATGTGTTGCACACAGAGGAACACACCAGCACATGAGCAAACAGGCACATTCTTTCACATTTCTGTTCAGTGTACTGGAAACCCACCGTATCCCCCTGCTTGGATGGGCGTTTTTGGAGAAGCACAAGCATACAGACTAAAATCCTCGGTCTGGAAGCCAGCCCGGTTTAGTGACGGCTCAGATGCACTGCGGTGAATTTTTGGCAATGACCGGGCCAGAAGCTCAATGGAGGCAAGAATCTAAAACAAGCAGAAAACAAGTGGTCGAATCCATGAATCCATGGTTTTCAAGTTGCTATAATACCTTAAAACCAAAGGCAGTACATCAACTAATGAAAAAATAAATAATGTTATACACAAATTTAAACAGAAACTTTAAAAAATAGATGACTGCATTTCACTCTGGTGTTTATATCCTCGTAAGCTGAAAAGGACATTTTGTGAAGAAACTGCCTCTTTCTCCTCTAAAAGGACATTCAGATTTTCCTCTTTAAGCATAAGGAACGTAGTTACCCTTTATGTGCCTCCTTCTTCATGCACTAGTACCCATACTCATCATCGCTGCAAATAAACAGCTTTGGAAGCTGTCTCCCTAATACCATTCACCAAAAAGCCAGTAGGTGGAGCTCAATTTTCTTTTTAAAGTGCCTTGGTACGTTCCCAACAAAATAAAGTCCTTCAGTTCCAAGCTTTTAATTCCCCAGCAGGCATGATAAATAAAGTTTTATCACAAAAATATCAGCCACCTCTCATAAAGCCTAGGAGACATGAAGGAAGGGAGCATACAGATTTCAGAGAACAAGTTCTAATTCATGTGTCTAACTGCAATCATTAATTTCACTATTTCCCAGGAAATTTTCTCCAACAAATAAATGCTAAATGTAAGTCATATTAATACCTGCTTTTTGAACTGTAAATGAACAGTTCTAATTAAACAGCTCTAACTAGCTAGGACTCTTACGAAATCTTAGTGTAGCCCCCCCCAAAAAAACCCTGCACTAGTGAATGAAATCATAAATGATCTTCATTTTTCATATTCAGATTGTAAAGTCTACTGAGAACTAAAGAGGAACATTCCTCACCTGTGGAAAAAGAGGTCTCTCATCTCTTTTCTTTTTCAAGCATTCTGCCATTAGTCTCTTCATTGCTTTTGGACAGTTACTTCTTACTTTACTGAGGTCTGGAGATAGATATCCTCGTCCCACCATAAAAATTATCTTTATTTTAGAGAAGAAAAAAGATGAAGAGGGAAGAAGATAAGCTCATAAAGTAAACAGTGAGAACAAACAACAACAACAAAAGACGAATGTTTTTTGCTAGACTATTTTCTTTCCAGCAACAAATCTTCTGCTCCCAGGGAACAGGATCTGAAATTGAAATGGCCAAGTTTGTTCGAGTAATATTAGCTAACCTACTCAGCACAGAGAAGAAGTTAGACTTCTCCTCCACCTTCTCTTCTATGGGAGATTGGTAAGAAACATGAACGCTATTAAATGGTTACTATTTATAGCAATAACCATCAAAAGAACTGTTATTCGGTGTCAAAAACTGTTATAAAACAAGAATAAGCAACTGTGGTTGGAACACAGTTCCTAAAAATAAATAGTCTGTTTTATTCATTGAACACTCCATCCTTGGAGGTGCTCAAGGCCAGGTTGGATGAGGCCCTGGGCAGCTTGAACTGGTGGGTGGCAGCCCTGCCCACGGCAGGGGGTTGGGGCTGGATGGCCTTTAAGGTCCCTTCCAACCTAAGCTGTTCTGTGGTTTTATGATTCTAGAAGAGTAAACAGCAAGTTCACACTGAACTTAAAATACTTTTTAAGAAACTCAAGATATTACAAAATAAAAAGCCCTTACCTTCTGCGAATAAATTCCTTCATTTGCTTTTCCATCATGAAAGCTTATTAACAATGACCAACTTCTCACCCCTCCTTAACCTCCTCCCTCCCCCTCAAAGACTTCTCTGCAAAAACTAAGTATTACTGGTCTAATTTGATGTTTCAGGTAGATACAGGCTTTACATTTTTTATAGTAACTAATGCAGAAGATTTACATTTCATCTAAGGATAAAATCTAAGCATACAATGAAGTAAGTTAATAGCAAGCAGGAAAACAAAGTACAAATTTGGTTCATGTTCTTTTGGACACATTAAGAACTCACCAAACATTGTCATGTCAAGCCAAGGTAAAAACTAATGCAGTTTGAGTACTGCAGTCATGCTGACACTAAAAAGCCCTTTCAAACCAGTTTCTCAAAGGTCCATTCATGCTGCAGGAGATAATCACTACCTTTTCTGAACAGTGAGACAGAGCCAGCAGGTGTATTATGCCTTATTTTTAACAGAGTATAACTATTTCATATCTTGACACTGGCAAAAAACAAAACAACAACAAAAAACACATCTCAAGCAAGCTATATATGCTGTTTATACTAACACTACTATAGTCCTTTTTCAACTTTCTGATTCAGATGCATTTGTGTTTGCATTGAGAGAGAACAGATCTCCCATATGGTTTCTTCAGGAATTCCTAAGTATCAGAGCAAACTTTAATAGTAAAGGTTTTTCTACCTTATCCCTTACCTTGTTGCAGTGAGAATTACTGTCATATAGAAGGAACAGTTTTCTACATAATTACACTACCTCACTGGAAATTATTCAGAAATTATCACCATTTTTGTTTCTGATGCACTGCTTATGTAATGTAGGGATTAATTTTTTATTTTTATTAGTAATTAGAAAACGATTATCACAACCGTAAGAGACATAATCCATCTATAAAAACCTATAAAAGTCAGCAAAACTCCAGAAAGCACAACAAGAACAATACTTTGCTCACTAAGAATGTCAGTTGTGACATAGTATCTGCTATGTAAAAGCACCAACAGAGAGCAATCAATGTTTGCATCTCTTTTAAAGATAGAGAAAAAAAAATTAAGAAACAAGATTGCATTTTTTATGTTGACTTCACGTGCAATTTAAAATTTATTTCAGCTCTTAACTGCAGGTACCCATATCATTGGGTTCATGACTCAAAAGGTAAAACAAAAATTGCTTCTAGAAGGTTACAGCCATGTAAGCCAGGAATCTCGATACTTCCCTTTGTTTAACAGGGAAAGAAAAAAGAAAAAAAAAGAAAAAGAAAAAAGAAAAAAAAGAAAAAAGGGAGTCGCTCCAAATCCGATGAGTTGGAATGAAGTGTTCTGACAAATATGGAAGCAGCCTTATAAAATGGCATTCACACATGAATGTTGCTATGGTTGCAATTCTCAAGTACTGACAGTGAAAAAACAAGGGATGTGGACACACATAAAACATAAATACATCACTAGGCAGCTAAGGAATAGTTTACACCAAAGGTCTTGATGCATAGATCTTATTTTCAGATTAGACAGAGAAATAATAAATCAGACAAGCCTTCCCAAACACGTCTAGCCTACTGAAACATATAATAGGTGTGGAGTATCATTAATTGTGAACAAATCTTCTATAAGTTTAAGTAATCTTCTTACAGGATTCACACTCTGGAAAGTCATACGCTTTATCAAGGAGACTGAGAAATGTTGATACCCTGAAATTCAATTAGATTGTGTATGCATTTCTTGAGATTGAAATGAATATAAAGCATTCAGTTAAATCCATTTTGTCAGTCCTGTTCCTGAACTATTATTCAATGCAATTCAGGAGGCAAAAAAAGAAAGTGGAATAACTGAACATACGGAGAATTATTTCTCCTTTGCAGAACTATTCTGAACTATATTACTATTAAGTAACCTGCTCTCTTCCTAATAAGTATCCTGGCAACCAGCTTAGAATCTGAAAATCTATACTTGAAGTAAAAAAGAACAAAAGAAAAAAAAACCCACAAGAAAAGTGCGTAAATTGGTGCTGTGTGGCTGAGGCAGATCTAAAAAAAAATCATGTAGAAACGTCATCTCAGAATATCAGAGCCAACCAATAAATGAAATACACAAAACAACAGAATAGTCACTTCACAGAGCTACATCAATCTGGTTCAGGCCACTGCTGACTAAAGGCAGTCCCTTCCCCAAGCCCATACTTTCTTTACCTGGTCCCTGTTGTTGATGTTTGAGTATGGTAACTGTCCAGTCATCAGTTCATAAAGCACAATCCCAAACGCATACACATCTGACTGAAAGCTATATGGGTTTTTGTCTTGCATTCTGATCACTTCTGGTGCCTGTATCATAAAAGGAAACAATTAGGTTTTATTTCACCATGTCAGATTGTACCTTGCATAGCGGAAACACGACATGGACATGTCCAGAGTATAACAGGTGCAAAGCCCCCCCTCATGGCTGGCTTTCTGTATTAGAGTCCACATTACTGGGCTCTACAAAAGTGTCTGCTGACATGAGTCCATTGGTTCTTTTTAATTTGGTGATCCCTTTGTTGAACTATGACAGAACATCCTCCTCAGCCCTGCATTGATCGTGCCCTTTTTCCTTACGCAAAACTGTCCTGTCAGTTTAGCCCTCAGAACAATGAAAGTAGACACTGAAGGTTTTTTGCTGACTACTGGAAAACACATAGTTAAAGAAAAATTGACAAGAACTTATTTAGTACTATGCATTTCTGCTTAGCCTTTCCAGCCTCAGATGGTTGCATGTGCCCATGCATGGAAAGAATAGTCTTACAAAGCTTGGCCAAAGGCAATTAAATCAGTTACAATGAATATACCACTTTCCCTTTACTTACCATCCACAGAATTGATCCAGATAACTGTTCAAATTGATGAGATCCACTCCATCGTGATTTCACTGTAGCCAGACCAAAGTCACCTATTTTTACCGTGAGGTCTTCATGAAGAAAAATATCTAAGGGATAAATGTTAAGGGAAAGCAAACAAACCACACTGGTCCTGTCCTACAAAAAAAAATAAACGGCTACAAATGTACAATTTTAAATGCAACAATAAATTTTAACCATTCAGCACCATTAAATAAAGTTATCATATAATACAGGTTCTAAGCAGTCAGGATAATGGATTATGACCTAATTCAAGGTCATACACGTAATGACTGGGCTGGTGTTGAACAGACCATGACCCAGCTGACTTTCTTTAAATGCCAAGTGCTTGAATACTAGAAACTGCAAATACTCCACAAGTCAAACTGGTGAAATCTTTCATCACAGGCAGAAATCAACAACGTAAAAAATCTTTCTGAAACTAAAACAAACCTTGCTATGTTCTTGGAATCACAGGAACATACAGGGACTTAAGTCAATACGAGTTTGTGACTTGCACTTACTGGGAATTCCCTGTTCATGGGGAATAATTGCAGCCCCCAATCACCAGCACAAATGGGATTCAACGGGTTACCTGTGCCTGCTGGCATCAGGTAGGCACAAGCTGAGTCAGCCAGTGTATAGGCTATTTTGGCAGTTAAGAGTAGTATTTATCAGATGTTCAACAGGCAAAGGCATTCTAAACATGCAATAGATCCCAACAGAAATTTGAAATTGCTTTCAGTATCTTGCTTAGAATAGTTTATTGGCACGCTGCAGAAAAAAATCAAGAAATTCTGCTATACATTAGTGGTCAAACAAAACAACCAAGGGATGCAATGTACAGACAGCAAAATATGTTTTTACAAAAGAAAAGAATATTTAAAAGTAAAATGAAAAGGTTAGTCATGTTACATTCCAAAACCCACAGCCCATTATATTAAATGTATTCTTTCTACAGGACTTACGTTCTTTAAAACAGATTAATGTAAGCATTACTTCTCTAATAATCACATTACACCTCCTCAACCAAATTTCAACTCAACAAATAATCACGCATGAAAAGCTGTTCTCTTCAATAAGAACATTTCTGGCAGGAAAAAAAACAGCCAGGAATGCTGGTTCTGCAATCACATCTCTGGAAAAGGATACTATTACTCTTGAGGTCTCTGTGGATGATCGACTTGGCATGCAAATAACTGAAAAGGAACATGACAGATTGGGTGGGTTAGACGTTATTCCACTAATCAACAGCTCAAAGTTTATTGTGTTACTGAAACAAATTCTGTAGATATTCAAACTGCATACTTTTGGCATGAAAGCTTCAGTACCCACATCAGTTCCTGCAACAGTCACAGGAGAAAATAAAAACAAAATAAAGCTTAGATTTCCAGCTTAACCCTGGTCCTACTGAAGAATGAAACAAATTAGACATCAACTTCCGCTTTTCAGTTGATTAAATCAACATTCAGAATCAGAACAAAAGAATTTCAGTAATTTTTGACATGTTGAAGGCTCTGCTTCCTAGCCTTGAAGGTGACCGTCATGGCACTTTGTGGGATAGTCTCAATCTCAGTCAAGGTATTTCCAAATTGTGGAACTTACAAGTGCTTCCCAGCCTGTGTCCCCCATGAAAGAAGCTGACTGCTCTTTAGCATAGGACTGGAAAAGAGATTCCCCAAACTGCACATCAGATAAATATGGTGCAGAGTTCCAGCAGAAGAGTGTTTGTCCCATAGCATAGACAAAGCCTAAATTAGGCAGTGAGTCTCCCATGGCTGTGTTTAGTCAATCAGCGGCACACACCTGCTGGAAGAGCCTCATTTTATGTTTCATTCTACTCTTTCATTCACACGGTGTTATCTCCTATCCTAAGACTGTTTGCACTGTGAAGACCATAAAGACTCAGGCAGAAATCTTTGCTCTCAAGAGTAAAGATAATCGCAGAGTGGTTAAACTTTCATTTTGTTTTCAGAGACCATATTACTTGATGGCATGTATTTCTCTATGTTCCAGAAAAAGGAGCACAAAACTCTGCTGATCAAAATCCTAAACACTTCACAAAATACTTTGATTAATGCAAGATTCTGGGCTTGGTAGACTGAGCAGACAGCCTAGAATGAAGGAAATATGTGGACAGGGTCCCAACAATCATTTTAAACAAATCATATGATACTTACTCCATGCCTTGTGCAGTCTGTCGTGCAATATCAATTAGTTTGATCATTTCAAATTTGGTCTCAATTATGTGCAGATGGTGATATAAACTGGACCCCTCACACCACTGTGTAACAATAGCCAACTGAGGTTTTGTTGAATAACCCATAAAAAGTAGGATATTCACATGCCGTGTTTTCCTGTTGAAAAAAAAACCAAAAACATACAGACATACATTTTTATATACATACATACAGATGAAAAGCAAACAAACAACAAGAACCAGACAGAACTAAATGCATCTTTCCAAATTGAAGTTCTTGGTCAGTTTTATCTCCTTAGGATAATCTGTTTCTATATTGAACCTAAGGAATGATTTCAGTCTTTAGTCTTTATTCTATCAACATGGAATAGCTATTGTGAAGCAAGACCTGCTTCTTCTCAATTTTGAAAGCACATTAGAACAGAAATGCTCAGAAGATGCTGTCACCACTAAGTCTATATGGGACAGTGACTGTTTGAAGGCAGGTCTAGGCATGTGTAACACCAGTTCAGCTATGAGATGTTGCTGCCCATCAGGAAGACATTCAAAATGAAATTTCAGACTCACAGACTTTCAGAAAGTACAACACTTCAGACACCAACAACACGCCTCTTTGGCAAGACTTCATTTTTAATTAGTACTTTGTTTGATAACAACATTTTACTCTCTGTGGAGCCAGCATACAAATAAGGATGGAGATAGATGTGAAAACTGTACCTCAGTAAAGTTAAGATATTCTCAATGAAGTTGTTTCTAAACAGTACTAGAATAGACTTAAGTTCACCAGAGATTTGGCCAGATTAAATCAAACCTCTTTCAAAGAAGCAGCAACTCCAGACATCAAAACTTCTGAAAACAGAGTCCTGAGAAGATGATCTCAGCAGATATCCCAGTAGATTCAAGGCCTGAAACAGTCTAGTGATATATTCTAAAATGCAAAAGTTTATCCTAATCCTGTTCCAGGAAAAGCCAATCACATTCTTAGTGTCACCAAATGGATATCAAGAAGAACTAGATACCTTCAAACATACCAAACAGAGGTCACAAAAATGTCATCTCTGCAGTCCTTCCTAGCTTTCCCAGAGGCTGAGGAAAAAGACAGTCTTCTTCCAACAGAGCACAGTACTGCAAACAGTTTGCTCACTGCCTGATGAAACCTGACAGACCAACCTTAAAACACGTGGCAGCTTTTTAAGTCTGCATGCTGTGCAGCTGATGACAAAACATTTCATATTTTCTTATATTAAAAAAATAACATAGGAGCAATGCAAACTTGTTCCCTACCAATGCAGGCTTCTAACCTATGTGACTGGGCCTTTTTCAGATGCAAAGATTTGTCAAGTAATGCTGAGACTAACTGCTGAGTGAACAAAATTCAGTGCTTTCTTGCAAATTTTCCCTCAAAGCTAAGAAAATACTGATGAAGCATAATGGAAAATGCACATTGGCAAATATAACTGGCTTGGCTGGGTCAAAGGATAGCACAATTGACTTTTTACTAAGCACCAAAATGATCAACAAAAGAGAAAGGCTAGACTTCAGGTATGAGACCAAAAATATGCACACCTCTTCAAGGCATACTCCTGCAAGCCTCTGTCACCACAGCTATGGACTTAAGAGCTTCACCATGCATTTTACTGTGGACCCTTCTCCAGGACAGGCATCCATCTCAACACGTGAATTTACCAAAGCCAAGAAGCTCCTTTCTATTTTGCTTCTTAAAACAGAAATATGCTCAAGATTGTAATTGGATGCTAATGGTCTTCCCCAGTAAATATGGTATAATATTGATAGATTTTCTGTTAAGAACTGAACGCAAGACAAATACTTTACCTGAGAAATTACAATGCTGCTACAAAACAATGGAAAACATGGGCAGAGCTATGGCTGGAAAAGAACAATCAGTTATACTCTCCTTCAATCTCAAAATTTGGAAGAGAGCAAAGGTCCAAAAGTTCATGCGTAAGTTTGCCTGTCCTATGGGTACTACAACAGTAAAACACAGACTTGTCTTGAGTGCTTGGATATACCATATACTCAGTAACATCAGTCTACAGACAAACACACGTGGATACAAAGCAGTGGATATAAAGAAGTGTTTTAAAATAGTAAGTTGTTTTTTCTACCCAAATTATCATAATTAAGAAATAAGACCACTGTGATGTAATGGAAATATGAAACTCAATCATTACAGAAACATAAATCTACACAGATTATTTCATACCAAAAATATTCTTACCTGAGCACTCCTACTTCATTTTTGAAAGCCTGTAACTGTTGAGGTGTGGGTGCTGTAACATTCAACATTTTTACTGCCACGTCACCTTCAAAATAGCAATCTTTAGTAAGTATCATTGACACAGATCCCTCAATTGAGAAAATGCTATATAGAAAATCAGAAATATTGAGACTCTATTTTCTAGCTTTAGTGGAATAAACCACTACTATATTAAAATAAGAATATATTCTGTAAACATGTATAAGTATTATTCTTATTTTACTCTGAGAAATTCTAGCCACATCTAAACTTTCTGTATACGCATACATTTGAGATTCTTGCTTAGCGAGGTGGCTACTTCAGCCTTTCTAGTAATCATATTTCATCTTTACCCTTATAATTACTTCTGAAGAACACATAGGAGTCAAGTTTCTACGCTGCTTAAGCTCTAATGTAACTTACTTAACCCATGATTCTTAGATTTAAATAGCTTTCATAGGTCACAGAATGATTGAGGTTTGTTGGGACCTCTTGGGGCTATGTCACCCAACCCTGCTGCTCAAGCAGGCACCACCTATAGCTGTTCACACAGGACGATGCCCAGAATGCTTCTGAGCATATACAAGGAGGGAGTCTCCACAAACTCTCTGGGCAACCTGTGGCAGTGTTCGGTCACCCTTGCTGCAATGAAGTCTTTCCTCATGCTCAAACAGAGCCTCTTTTGTTTGAGTTGGCAGCCATTGCCTCTAATCCAGTCACTGGGCAGCACTGAAAAGAGCCTGAGTTCATCCTCTTTCCAGCCTTACTTCAGGTATTTTAATACATATATATATATATAGATATGATCTCTCTCTGAGTCTTCCCTTCTCCAGGCTTAATAGTCCCAGCTCTCAGCCTTTCCTCATAGCAGAGGGCCTTTGCTGGAGTCTCTCCAGTATATGTCCACATCTCTCTTGTAGTGGGGAGCCCAGAACTGGAACTGCCACTCCAGGTGTAGTCTCACCAGTAATGAGGTAGAAGGGAAAGATCACCTCCCTGCACCTTCTGGTAATGCTCTGTCTATAATGCAGCCCAAGATACCATTAACCTTCTTTGTGACAAGGCCATGTTGCTTAATCATGTTCAAATTGGCATCCACAAGCACCTACAGATCTTTTTCTATAAAGCTGCTTTTCAGCTGGGTGGCCTCCAGCAGGCAATGCCACTTGCTTAAGAACAACTGTTTGCCCTGGGAGCCACGTACCATGCCACTTTCCTTTGTAGACTGTTCCGAATGATCCAGATCCTATCCTTTGTCCAACTGTGATCTGCCCATCTGGGATTTCCCAATCATCACTTGAATCTCGTCGACCAAGGGTTTTCTTTACATATTTACACAAATAATAAAAAGAAAGAAAGAAGAAAAAACAACAATTAATGCTTGTGAAAATACATCCTTTATTAAAGATTCTGTATCAAAATTTCATGTAATTAAGATATTTTTTCTCCAAATACTACAAGTGACATTTCAAATAAGGTATATTCAAAACCTCAGTATAAATGTATACAAGTAATTTCCTAACAGGAAATATTTGCCACAGATTTTGGGCAGTATTAAAAGCACGGCAAAAAAAAATGGAGAATTTCCTCCCACAGGGAAAGTCTCATTTATGAATTTTTCAATTCTTACTCAGTCATAAGGTTAAACTGTGAATTAAAAGAATGCAGTCATTTTATCCACTCTTAAATTTGAGTCATTAGAGAACTTTCACTGTTCGTGAAACATGGTGAGAAAAAGTTAATCCTTGAAGGGAAACTGGCATTATAATATAAAGTGCACCCAGACACTTGGCTGCAATGGAGGAAAAGTGAACACAGCTAATGATTTATATACTAGTCTCATTATTTCAATATTCAATTATTTATTGGTTTAAAATCCTTGACCATTATATAATCACCTTGAAAATAATTCATGTGGCTATGATGAAAGAAAACTGAGAAAAACACAGATGTGTGGTATTTCTATACTATGAGTATACCACACTCATGTGAAAATAACTCATCTTACCATTCTATTTCTGTCTTCTGAGGATGAGGATGATTTCCTTTCCCGCTGGGGGCCTGGTGATTTCTGTAATGCTTTCACATTGGTAAGTGACCCAGGCAAAGATGCGGGAGGTGTTGCAGACAAACCTGCAGTTGAACCTAAATTTCAGAAACAGGATAATTTTTATCTTTAAGAAGCCAGCTTACAAGAACGTACTGCTGTCAGGTGCAAGAACTTTGTTTAAGATGCAGTATCTCCAAACATCAATGTAAATGTTGAGAAGGAACAAACATACACTTCAGGAATATTGTATTAGTACTAGATTAGTGCTCAAGTCTTAGGTAACAGAAAGAGACGAGTCTATAACAAACATTCCTGTGTATCATCTAGTCCTCAGCCTTTTGTTCTTGAATTAGAGGGATAATGTTTAAGAAGAAAAAAAAATACGTTTTGTTGTTTTTAATTCTGCCAGCCTCTTTGACAAGTAGTAGCATTTAGTTAGCTGCAGCTGCCTCTCAGATTTCTCGTAGCTAACGTTTTAGGGACCCAATAAATAACTGAGATACTGTATTTTGGAATCAAAACAGACTAAATACAAAAAAATTTCATGTTTTTTAGCTGAGTCTTCAAGTGCCACCTCAAAACCATTTGGCTGTTTTAAAGCTATCTGTTCATAAAGAGCTTTTATATAAAAGTAGATGTTAGACCGCAGAAAGGCTTACAAAGGAACAAGTGCTTAATTTACCTATTTGAGGCATATTCTAATAAATCCAAATTAGAACAGTTTATCTCTAAAATATATGTTGTCTAAAGAAAGCTTCATAGAAAAATCACAGAGCTGTGTTTCAGGGCCCCAGTGCCTCTTTACAAACAGAACGCTTAAACTAGACACTGCTTTTTAAAGTACATCTTAATTAGCAAGGTTATGCTGACCCTCTCTTAGTGCAAAGGACATAAAATAGGGTCAACTGTTAATTAAATTCACCCTGCTCTGATAAATGATGTATGTCATTGTACAAGGCCTCCAACATTCCAGTACTTTCTCAAACATCAGTGGCGAAGGACAATACTCCTCCTCCTATTACTTCAGAACCCCCTTTCCTACCTGCAAAGAAGACTCCTAAAGCCAACATGAATTCAAAATCCATTTTGTAGCTTTTGTGACTGTTGCTTGTGTTCAGCCACTCTATGTGCTAATATACCAGATTGTATCTATCCATCACTGCTTTCCTTCATTGAGCTAAAATCCATATGTTTACAAGTGGAAGCACATAATAATAGTGTCAAAAATGGAACGCAGCATCCATGAACTTTTGCCCCACACATTAAAGCAACAATAATGCATACTGGGTACCTAATTAAATTTAGAAGCAGATGGAAGCCAGTGACCTAATGGAGGGACTTTTGTTCCTATTCTCTGTCAATTTCATTTTATGGTTACTATATTATTGTGCTTTTACTACGTTATTTGTCTGAAAACAAAACAAAAATCAAATTGAATGTATGATGTTCCCAGAACAAGAACTTTTTTCCAAAATTCTATTGGCTTACAGATTTTCTCTTAAATATTGAAGTTGTGCTTTAAGATATTAAAGGGAACACATTATATCTTATTTAGAAGTAACTGGAATCTCCTACTTAAATTTTAATACTGAGATATAGCAACACTAGCACAACATTTACCCTTTAGTGGATATGGTTATAGCACATGATAGGACATTATAGTTAATTCGTCCATAAGAACACCAGTGGACCTGTTTTCCAAGTTGTCAGTACTGTGCGATACTTTAGATAATGCTGGACTTAAGTCATTAGCATGGACTCTTAAGCTGTATTTAATGTATTCCATTCTGTACACAGTTTGCTTGCCTTCTTATACCTCTCTCCACGCAAAAATTTCTGGAACAATTTTAGTGTTCTTGATATGCTCTGCAACAAAAGTCTTTGAAACAGCCAAGGTGGTAGCATTTGAAAACTACGCTACATGCACTTGACCATTCATTTCTACATGTATACATAGATACACAAATATTTTTATTTCATGCTGTAACTTAATAGTAGGTTTTTCCAGCATATGAAATCCCAATGGGGATTTTGTGCAATAAAACAGATCCATTGACAGCTTTAGGCCTGAATTACTGAAGAGTCAGTGATGTGTGAAAATAAAAGAGTATTATTTTACATAGTTCAGGACACAAGCAAGTATTGTTTCACTGGATATGTACTAAATAAAAATTATATAGTCTAAACCATCCAGAGCCCCAGTGTAGTATCAAAAAAAATCCTCAAAATAGATTTCTTGTGAAAAGTTGACACGGCACATTGTGTGAAACGCTTAAGACCTGACAAGATATCAATGGAAATGTTTGCAATTCACATTTGATTTCCTAGATTACTTTTCAAAGTAAAGATTATTAAATACATAAAAGTGTTAAAGCACTGAACTGACTTAAACTGAGCAGTCAAGGAAATTCTAAGTTAAGGACATCGCTTTGTCTTTAAAATCACTGCAATGCAATCCAAGGACCTCTGTTCAGAAGAAAATACGTTTTGGTCCATATAAATACCTCAACTATGAAATTCCTTGCTTTAGAAGATTTAAGTCAGACTTTATAGTCATCTTCAAGCATATAAACGTGAAAGTGAATATGTGTGGAAAGCACATTCAAAGCATTCCAGCCAGGCCAAGCAAAAAACAGAGGTGTTTTGATAAACTCACACACTTACATACACACGGTGTGAGGGTGAGGCACAAACAGCATCTGTGGTTTTACTTATTTTGTTTGGGTGAAAACAAGAAAGAAGAGCCCAACTACCTCTGAACACTGGGCCAGGCTCAAAATCAAACACTATTTCACTGGGGACAGAATGAAGGAGGGGACTGGGAGTCCGGGATTGGTATTTCCGAAGACAGCGCATCAGCTGGTTCAAAGGGGCTGTTAGAGAGAAAGAGACGGGCAGGCAGAGACAGAAAGACAGACACATAGAAGAAATGAAAGAAGTCATGGGAAATAACTAGGATGCTTTGACTCCTATTCATAGTTTGCTTCTGTACTTTGAAGGACAAAAACGTCAATTACTAAAAACACCGTTTCAGGAATGGGAATTGCCAATTGGTTTTCAGATGCCAAGCAGACAGTTTATGATCAAAAGTTAAAACCAACATGATACCACAACACTTAAATGCTGGACAAAATGGGCAAAACTGTGGAGAGCCACACCTATTGAGACATACAAAAATAGCTAGAACTGGAAACTTGAAATTAATTTGCTTGCAGGATACTAAAGGAAATTTCTTTTTAAGAAATGTATTACCAGTGGCATAAGAAAAAACAGCTCCCTCAACCACAAAGTGGTAGGTAGGCCCTATTCTACCCATGAACAGTCAGGGATGGGAGAAACAGTTATGTGATAGCCCACAGTACAAAACATTAGAGATCAGGGTGGACTGCAGTGAGGTAACTCAATTTTCTCATGGCTGAAACAAGTTACAAGAAATAGTAGATGGCTGAGTCAATAACCTGGAGTTGGAAAAGCTGCCACAGGCCTACAAAACTTACTGTTTCTTTATCAGTAGTGTATTCATAGGAATAAATCCAGCATATAAGAAGCCCTCTCAGGACTTGACAACCAGTGAGAAAAGTAACTTAGCAGGCTTATGCATAACGTGTGAAGAAAAATTAATCTATCTTTTGGCACTAGTTCTGGCTTAATTGTCAATTAGGGTTGTGTTTTACCGAAGAAAACATAAAGGGAGCTGGCTTTAACTTAAGGTCCTAACAACTTGGTTCCAAGATTAGCACAGGCATGCAGTATAGCAAAGCAGCATCTTCAGCAGGGGTAGAGGGGGAGAAGAACCGGAGAACATCATGCCGCTTTAGGATGCAGCAGTTCATATAGAAGGTCCATCTACTGTGTTGATAATCTTCAAAGGAAACTGCTGTAGTTTCCACAGGTGGAAAGGTAACAATAGGCATAAAAATCTTTGAGAGAGATGGAAAGCTGTAGCATAACTGCATGCAGCCATGTGAGTGAGTGACTGTGAATGTGTGTGTATGTGTGAGTGAAAGAGGGGAAAAAAAGAGTGCAGGATGATTTTAATACTAAAAAACTAGAAAACACTTCAAAAATTTTTCTCCTTCTGTCTCCCCCACTCCCAGAATGACTGGCAAATGATTCAAATCTTTGTCAGACAAATACTAATTTAATGGACAAGCAAATGCAAATTCATTTTTTAATTCTAGTCATATTTTCCTTTGTGCCCGTGTTTTATAGAAGGAAGTAGAACAAAGGGAAAGGACAGAGGATTGTATATTTAAATATAGCACAGTAGCTAGTTTAAACACTACTTACCTCCCTCTCCTCGTACACCCTGGTCTCTAATCAAGTCCTATTAAAAAAAAAAATGTATATAAGTATTAACATTTACATTCCAGAATCAGCTGAGAGCGATCCAATTGATAATCCATGACCTTATGTGCTGGTCACAAAACAGAAGTTGTTTCCTATTCTGGTTTACTAATATCAGAAACTCCAAGCTGTAACAACCATTAAACTTTTCCAAATCATTTGCTTTAGAACAGCATCTCGCAGTAGTAAACTGAAACTCATAGCTCCCCAAATCAATACTGATATAAAAATATTGATTTAAACATGCAGTTCGCCAAAATGTACAAAGCAGTATCAAATCAAACGTTCTGGTTACAGTGTTCGTGATACAAATTATTTGAACTGTCTTATCAGAAGCTGGGACACCAATTTCCTGTACCGAGGTAAGTCAGTCGAACGAGTTCTGCTTCATGCTTGTACCAACACACCACATTTGCATACCCAGATGCACTCTGCTCTTTTCAGAAATGACTAACTGCAAAAGATTTCCTTCACCTTCAATCCACTGTTAACTGAGAGTATCTTTTACCATATATCCAGACCATAGTAACCAACACTAATGATTTTCTTAGCACAAGAAAATTCTAGAGGTTTCCTTCCCTAAGGTGCATTTTCACCATCAAGGTTTTTTTTTTTTAATGGTTGCATGATTACTTTATACATTTGCACTGCTGCTGAAAAGCACCAGTCCTGCCTCTCAGCTGCATCACTGCCATATGCAAATGTCTAGTAAGCTGCTTTCTTAATACACAGCACTTCACTTTTCACTCAGCTCACATGTAGAACAGATTTTGTGTCTCAATGTCCAGACAGACTTCAAGACTGTTCACCTGACAAATGACAGATTTCTAATGAGTGGATTCAAAGGAAAAATATAAGCTGTACAAATTAACAAAATTAGAAAGAGGCCCTCATGATTCAAATTTTGAATGATGCTAGCTGCTCTTATGTTTATTATCAACTATTATTGTTAAGCATTACAGTTCAGCATTCAGAAATCCCATAAATGTGAATAACAAGTTAAGCGCAAGAGCTTCTCAACACTGGCATTAATATATACCAGGTTCATGGAGTGCTATCCAACACTCACTAAATCTGAGCTCAGATAACTCCAATAATGTCCTTCAATGCCAGAAATATGGCTTGTAAAGTGGACTGTAAAAGAAAACACACCAAAAAACAAACCTACTCTGCACGCCAAGAAATTTACTTAATGCATACAATGGTCTGTAAGGATGGTTGCTAGCCTTTACATTCTTAATGCTGTACAGGTAGCAGTATGAGCCTCAAGACTAATCATAAAATAGAGAACAGCAGTAGTTTGTGGTAGAATGCTTTTTTGAAAGCTAAAGGACTGAACTGTATGAAGGTAGCTTCTGCTTGTTGAGATAGTTATTTGCATTCCTACAGCTCTCGATAGAAAAAATTCTTTCTTGGAATCTACAAAGGTTCTGACAGACCAAGGATTAGCTTAGAAATACAGTACTTGTGTGTGCACATGAAATATTTAACACTTTAACATTCATAAGAGAAACACCAAATCTGCTGTTCACGATCCAAATGTTAATACTTACATCAATATTGACTGGCTCGATTGTATTGATGTGAACATTGGGAGCTGAAGAGGATCGGTCGCGTTGCCCAAACTGATTCCGATGGTCTTCATCTGCTGGTCGGAAGGGCTGTGGGATTGGAATGGATTTTGAAGGAGAAGGACTAGGGAGAATTGGTGGTCTGAGAAACAAAGTCAAGGAAAAAGAGGATTTAGGTCTACAAATGGCTTCAAATGCTGCATAGTGGGTGTGGTAAATCCTTTTCAACTATAATAACACATACATAAGAAACAGCTGGTCTAATGGCCTGCATAAAAACAATTTATAATGAACGGTCTGCTCCCCTAGGATCAATCGCAACAACTCTCTGCTGCACAAACTATCTAATTACATGGCTGCAAAGTGTTCCGAGTTTAAAAAACAAAACAAATCCTAACACACCGTATCTAACTGGTAATATTAAATCCTGAACTGAAACAATTAATATAGCTCAACATGCACTGCAGGTATTGAGACTCTCTAGTTTCTTCACTTCAAAGTTAATGCAATACAATCTTTATAATGGCATCTTTTTGAGAAAGAAAAATGTTTAACATCTCACGCCAATATCAAATTATGTCAAAAAAATCACATGGATGGGATTACTGTGCAGCAAAGAAAGTTGCTTAAATAGTTGATTAATAAATAAATAAATGATATTATGGCCAGAGTATTAAGAATAATTGATATTAAAAATAAATATATCACCTGTTCACCTCAGCTTTTAGGAAATAAGTTTAAATAGTGAAACATTCCCAACATTATTTACAGTGCTACAGTTAGGCAACAGAAGAGATTTCACTTCAAAGGTAAGCGTTCAGACTATACAGACAAGTTTTCTGAAGTAACACAACTGCTATCAGTCATGAATGTGGATACAAGTCTATATAGTATAATTAATCAATACATTAATAGACAAAACATGTACACACTCTCTTTGTTGTTGTTGCTGTTGTTCATAAGAAGGCAGTTACTTTGCTAATTTGATAAAGTAGAATAAATAGGCATTTATCTCTTACTCAAGTCAAAGTTAATCACTTTTAAGTCCCATCATTCAATTCAATGGATACAAGTTGAACAAGAAATCTGTCACCTTCTTCAGAAAAAAAAAACATACTTAAAATATATTTCATAGTTGATAACGAGGTTTTAGAATTTATACAAAATGCAACTCCTAACAGAGTAGTCCCCCAGCTATTAAACTACTCATGGGTTACCATGCCCACAAAGGCAATGCCCGCAGGGAGAAGCTTCAGAAATAAACCATAGAGCAGCCTGCTGCAGTAAGAGGCCATGGTGCTGCCTTCTATATGTAAATGGTCCCTGGCCTCTCCAAACATTTTCAAGGGCAACTAACATTTTCAACAGCACCTCTAATGCTTATTCCAAAATAGATATGCTTTATTGGTGTCTATTACCTATCTGCTATTACAGATCTTTCATAGTTTGGCACTGATCTCAGAACTCAGTGCTATCAGTATTCTTAGTACCTGTCATTTTTTCCTTCCCAGCCTACAGTCTCACTATAAAGAATGGTCTCACTCTCAAGATCACGATCAATCAAATGCACCACTTGCCAATGAATTCAGATGACAGTGTAGTAAGCCTTGCAATAAAATACATAGATTATGTTTGTGAAATGAGATAGAGGGAAGAACTAGTAAGGCATACAGTCTTGCTCTAAAAATACATATATAAAAAATTGGAGAGTAATTAAGTAACAGCACATAAGAATATATTTATTGTGAAGATGATGGGAAGCAACTGAAACTGCCAATAGACAGATTTCTGAGGAAGTGTTTTCAACAGCCCAATATTTCTGAATGATGCTCAGAAGTCAACCGAGTAAAACTTTTCTGATGAAGATGAGGAAGTTTCTGAGATTCCCAAACATTTTTTTAAGGAAATTATGCAACTAGAACTCACATTAGGAGATAGGACACTGCAGATGCATGCACAGGATGTGGCTGATATTCCAAGATACCATGTTTTCATGTCAAGGCAAGTATGTCAGATGGAACACACAAAGATTTCAGAAAAGTATAAAAATCATCTCAGCCAGCCCAGAACTGCCACTGTCAGGACAGCAGTCTCCTGCCCAAACCTCCTGAGGAGTTTGAAATAGTGAAACCAAGGAAAACATGTAACAACAAACCCAGATCATTGCATTAGGGATGACTATGAGAGAACGTTTAAGCTCTGCCACGCAACTAGAACAGAAATAATTAAAATTGCTGTGATTGTGAGTTAGCCAAGGGAGAAAAAAACACAACACAATTTCAGAAATGTTCTTTCAATTAAATCTTCCTCTGAGTCATAAATGGTCATCTACTAAAAGAGTCCACAAATATGCCTGTGTTTCTGGACACAGGTCATCAAAGCCTACCACACTGCTAACACAGATAGCACGCTACATCATATCATGTTTTAAAAACAAATTGAGTCTTTTTCTACTCATGAAATCCTGGAGGCAGGTCAGATCTTTAGGAAAAAACCTACAGTCTGACAAAAAGCTCTCTTTTTTGGCTCTACTGTTACCAGGAGGAAAGACACAAAAGAATCAAAACATAGTCATGTACGCTACCTATACAACCAGGATTTCATTACTGGGTGTTTTTGGGACACTCACTAAAATGAGGAATATTTTTTGCTAAATGTGGACATTGCTTTAAAAAGGTAACTAGGGAAGAGAAAGACAGAAGAAGTTTACTAGCAAGGGTGGCCAACTGAGACCACAAGCTCATGAGTGATTGCCAGCCTCTTCCTGTGTGCAGCAAAGGCACTATCTTGATCTGCCTCTATGCTACAGGGAAGTCATCATCACAAGGCACACAGTGATCTTCCTAGATATCATAAGCCCGTGCTACATGGGCTAACTTAACTGTTGCAGGAGAAAGGAAGGGACGACAAAGCAAAAAGGAATGGCTATTTTAATTTATAAGAGGATGGCACTGCCTGCTCCAGACAAGTTATGATGCTACTCCTTCAGCATAGCCTGCAGATTAAGTGCCAGCAAACAAACAGGGGAAAAAAAAACAACAAAAAAGACAACTAGAGCACAGCTCTGCAAAGTACTGTTCACTGTAAGCAGGCCACATCTTAGAGAAGCAGAGAAGTTTAAATAAGAGGATCTGAGTTTCTGTTGCTCCTGCAGCCTTTGAAGCAGCCAACTCCCTTGCTAGAAGAGAACTACAAATAAGAAGGTCAATATTCTGACTTGTTAGAAAGGTTGTGCCATACTTTCCTCCAGCTACTTAAGTGTGGGCATTCCTGCAATAAATGAGTCTCAGCTTCCCAGGCAACAAGCTAATAGAGCTGTCAAATCTAGATTTTTTTAAAAATAAATTATAACCTTTCTTGGCAGTACGACAGAACGTACCTTTTCCTTAGAACATGGATTTGGGATAAGCACATTGTTCCCTTCTTTTTTATCAAGAGGGAACAAAGAGGTTTTGTCAGTAGACGAAAATAAGCCTAAATTACCTAACTGGGACTACTAATTACAGATAGGTGCAGCTTTTTACCCTTTGTCAATGATAGCAAATGTCAATATGTCCAGATTCACTATCCTACAAAACTGGGTCCACTGGTAAAAACAAGGGTAACTCAAAAGTGCCCACACGTACTATTTTACATATAACAAACTCATATAGTATTATTATGCACAGCATCTCTCTTATATCTTAGAACTTACAAACTAGTGCTCTTCAAGAATATGAAAGATAATTCTAATACAAATTACCTTTAATTTTCTTTAACTTGCTTACCAGGTATTTAAGAGCTGGTCTATTCAGGAAAGATTTTTCCTCAAAAGAAATTTTTGTTTGAAGTTTTGTTTTGCTGTAGTTAGACAAAGACCCTAACTGAAAATTCACATCAACACTGTTTCAGTCATAGTGTATATGCCACTTCCCTTGTGGAATGACAGCACTGCTACTAGAATAGGACTGTTCACCTAGTAGACTGCATCCTTATGAAAAGCTTTTACAAGTCAAAGTGCATGTGGGACTATCATTGCATTTACACCACAGTACAGGCTTTGCTTTTTGTTACAACAATTAATGAGAAGTACCGTGCACTTCCATTTTCAAACAGTTCCTGTGGACGTAATGATCTGGAATAAAATGATATTTCAGCTACACTAGCAACAGTCATGGGAGAGATCTTCAACAAGCAAAGCTTCATATGGATTAGTGCACTTAATATAATGGTAACTTGTCCTCAAGCATGTCACTTTGTAGGTATTAAATACGATTATCACAATGGTATGCATTCATACTTGTCTTTGAGTCCAGATCAGAGCTTTGCAATGTTTTTGTAAAACTTCTGAGGGCTTCATATACAAGAGGCTATTGAGAGGACCCACAGAGCTGTCGCTACTCCTTCAGGTCAAGTCTCAGGTCTCCATGCTCTTGCAAATAAAGTTTTCACTTGCTGTACGCAACAAAAATGAATTGTTTAAAGATTCTAATGCCAAGCCTTTCCAGCTCATCAAGGCAGCATACCACATTTGACAACATAGGAAGTTTGCTAGCAGTTATATGGAGTGGCTTAGAAAAGGGCTGGTGACAAAAAACATTGTTTTGCACAAAAAAACAGATCAAAATGGTGTGGTAATACTAAAGTGCAACCTTATAAGAACGTGTCTTTGTTTTGTTGGCTTTTCAGAAGCTTTTCTAGACATTTAAGTATCTTCAGCTGAGGCAGAATGATCAGTGAACATTTGGAAGACAGAAAGGAAAGCAGAGGTGTTTAATCATAGGTTAGAGTCTGCTTTAAGGCAGGAGCTGGCAAGCCTCCAAGAACAGTGCACCAGACAGTCCCCTCTTCCTTCTTCAAATGTAGAACATTAACGATGAAATGTTGTTTATCAGGGAGCAAAGACTCTGCCAACTGCTTACCAGCAGCATCCTACCTCAAGCAAAGCAGAAGCTTCCAGCTTTTATCAAGTCCAGCCTGCCTCTGTGCTACTCAAGTCTGATCATACAGCCCCCCACCCCCTCATTCTACATGTTACTTACCCTGCCATTATATCTGCCTCATGGGTTTGCTGAGTTTTGCCCAACTTCACAACATCTGAGAGAATGGATAGAAGTAGAAAAAGACAACTTTGGAATATTTTGAATAGCTAATCTCTCTCCTTTTCATATATATATATGTGAGATCCAGTGAATTGGATTCAGAGAAACTCAGTGCTCATGTTTTAAGAGCATAGGTGCAGTAGAAACTTTATGATAGTGTAATGAATAAAATGAATACAATGTATTATATAGTTTATGTACTTCAGTTTTATTACAAATGGCTATCATTAGGGACACCTACACTTTAATAGTTCTTTCCAGTTAAGTCCAGATTATAACTGTCTGTTTGGGCACAACACAATAGTGCAAACTGAAAGAACAAAAATGGAAGAGAAGACCTGATGTGGAGGCTGGACACATTTTTGTAAGGGTTCAGAAATGTGCAAGCAAGACTCTATATGCTCCCTTATCTTGGGGTGGAACATCTGGAGGAACTGACTATTGCTTACAGTTGGAGGAATGGAAGGCTACAGGACTGGACTGATTTAGGATGTTACACGTGAGCAAAGTGCAATAAAGTTCTCCAGCACATTTATCAGCTTTTGCACCATGTCCAACGTTCTTTTCCTGTATGTCCCTTTCTCTTTGCATCTTCTCCATTTGATCCCTTGACCACTTCTCAGCATGTCAAACACGCTTTGCTCTTGAGCTTGTCTTGCAACACGAACTCTTCCTTTCTTTGGACACCTTCCTGCCGCTGGAATCCCTTCACAAGGCTAAAGATGAAGGATGTTTGCCTCCTCTTTACCAAAGAATTAGTAACATCCCTTCCTCTGTGGGCTGTGCCGTGTGCAAAATGCTATGAGAACAGAGAAATTGAAGAAGTAGTTATTAAACTAGTAACAGTGTTAATAAAGCACTAGTTTTTCATATTTTTCAGTCCCACTGCCCAACTCTAAATAATTTCATTAATTTACTCTCTTCTCAGTAAAGACAACCTCAAATGTCAGACTTTTTGATTCCAGTTCGGTTGCTGCCCCATGTTGTACTCTTTAACAAAAACCATGCCTATGATTTTGTAGAGAAGGCCAGCATTCTTTATTTACTCTCAAAAATAATCACTGAAATTAGTTTTTCCACAATTACATCCCAAAAAAGCAGAGAAGTATTGCTAAAGAAGAAAAAGATAACTGGAGAAATACACAAACAGTGCTATATGTTCATACAATAGTGCCTGAGTTGCTTCTGGAAAGAAAACAGTACCAATACAAATGACTGGGGAAAAATGCATGCCTTTGGAACACACACACTACTTTTTAAACAACAACTCATAATCATAAACCATCTTCAAAAGAATTTGAAGGCATGCTGCATGCCTTTTTATGTTTTAACAATGAAGTGTAGAGCAGAGGAAAGAAACGAAAACCGTGGGGAGTTAGAAACCTTTAACAGCTCCTGCAACCACAGCTATTTACTGATACATTACTCTTAAAGAAAACAACAAAATACCTTAAAGCAAACACAACAAAACACCTCTATAATCTAAATCAGCAAGTATATTTAACTTCACAAATAGAAAACTAAAAACATTTCAAAACCTTAATGTATTAACCACCATTTGTTTCAGTTTTTCCTTTCAGTTTTCATTTCACACAACTAAGACTGCTCCACGTACTACATGTATAAACTAAAGTAATTCATCCTGTTGTGTCTTCATGAACCAGCAAGAATAATTGTGAGGGCAGTGGCAACTGTAAAGCAGGAATATTTACTATATACAACAGTACTAGGACTGGTGCTGTATGGTCCCTTTTGGTCTTCACATGTGTTTAACACATTTGGTGCAAGCAACCTTCATCACAGATTAATAATTCTGGCTTGGTTTTAATTTCAGATGTATCATGACAGTGCCAAAGCATGCTTAGCTTACAAGACTGTCTCAGCAGGCTTGCCCACAATCTGCTGTACTAACCTACAGTATGTAAGAACAATATTCACTATACAGAAGAGGCAATTCCAAAATTTTTCTGAAACTTCACAACTTATTACAAATAAGAATATTGTCTTTCTTTCCACTTACCAAATGAAGTTCCTTCTGCAGCACTGTCAATCTATTTCCCAGGATGTATCACATTTGAGCTTTCATAAAATAGTCTCAGCTGTTCAGGGCATTTTTCTTCCAATCAGAGTCCTCAAGCACTTGTGCAGCTTCCAACTGTGTTTCTGCTTTAGTCAGGCACAATGTTCAGCATTCCAAGACAGCTTCTCTGCCAAATTCAGTTCATCTCCACAGAGTACCACATGTCCTAAGAGCATTTTCCTGAAGGCTTTTATCTTTGGTGCTTTAATAAATTTGCATCACGATTCTTGACTTTGATACACATCCTTGAATTCATCTTTCCTGGAAATTTGTTCCACTCTCTAATGTTAGTTGTCAATGATCTCTTAATTACTAGGATCACAATCTAAACATGATCTATTACCTTTCCACAGAGAAAAGTGCCAGAATCTTTGTTGGGAATACACGGGAAGGATGCTGTAGTCAATTGGAGAAATCTAATTTTACAAAATCTGGATCTGCAAACAGATACTCTTGGTGCATCCCAGCATCTAAATAGGACATCTGGTCCGGACAATACTAAAGCAATGAGTATGTAAAAAAGCACCTTGACTTGGCATCTATGCATATCAATCTTGTAGTGCTGTGGCTTATTCTGAAACAGAGGTTTGTCACTCCAAGGCAAATAAATTTTCATTTCATTACAGAAACTAAACAAATCTGTAAAGACAGTGTTTTAGTTTGCACTGATTTGAAGAATAAAATCTTTCCAGTTTAGACCAGGTCTGTGCTACCATAGAAAAGAATTCTCTTTAACAGGTAAGGCCCCAGTTCTACAAATACTTAAGCACACACTTAATTTCAGTTTGTATATTAATATATGTCTTCAAGTGAATGTATACATTCACTTCTCTGAAGTTAAGCACAAGTTGATGTATTTGCAAGACAAGCCAGATTACAAAAGAAATGTAGAGATGGTTGCAGAGCAGTATTTTGAAAGTTTCTAAGCATACAATACTGAAATGTTATGGTATTAAAGAGCAGGAATAAGGTCATACCCAACAGAATCTGATGGGGGCACTGAGGGGTACGATCCCGATGCCGGGGTGGTCTCTCCTAAGGTGGTCTCCTCCTGCGATATGGGGTGATGTTCAAAGAACTTGGAGACAAACAGCAAACTGTGAGGTAAAAACAAAACAAAAACAACCGAACTTGTGCAAAACCCAGAAGATTCCACAACACTCAAGAGACTGGAAAAAAATTTAAAATCCAGCACTGATGAAATCCTAATTTTTAAAAATGAAGTCTATGCTTACACTTCACCTTGAAAGTATTAAAAAAAGTATTATTTACTAGAGAAAGGTTCAAAGGACTTATTTTCAGAAAGTAATATCTTTCTTGAAATTCTAAATATCTGATTCCTTGAGAATGTGCAACTTATACACTGAGTAGAGGACCTAGTTTCAATGTTTGCACTGATAAATTGCCAAAATCAAATGCCAAAAAAAACCAACCCATAACCAACCAACCAAACATTAAGTATGGATAAACTATGTTATCCATAAGCCTTGATCACACCTTCTGAAGGTGCCCAAGGAAAATATCAACATAAGCAAAAAATTAATTACATATTTGAGGAAAAAACTAGCATTTTAAGTGATTCTTTAAATGAAAGATTTATTGGCCTCTGCTCAGACTTTGTCAAAGACTTATACAAATCAATAATTCAATTCAAGAACACATTAATGTTTGGGGCATGTTCTGTTATGCTTCTTATTTAGGCAAACTTGCATATGGATTTATATTCAACTGCAATGTGACCAAGTTAAATTCACATCTCTCAACATTTTTTTTCAAGTTGAAGAAAATAAACCCGTATCTAAACATTTAAACAAGGCCCTAGCTATCCCATAATAAAGAACCAGTTTTGATTAAGAATTACATCTGTGAACAATGAGAAGTCTGTCTCAGACAGTCAAATGCTCAGCCACGCTATTCATGCTTCAAAGAAAGCATTTCATAGTCCAGCAAAAAAAAAAAGAAAAAAAATGAACTGGTTGTCTGAACCAGCACTGACAGAATATGAATTAAGCAGTCTCCCAAGAACAGTCGAGCTCCTATAGATTTTCAGGCACCTCCTCTGACTTCCTGAATTACAGATTTAACACAAGAAATCACTGAGAGATATTAGCTTAATCGACAGCTCAACTTGAAAACAAAATACGATGACTTACTCAAGTTGGTCATAGTTAACACACATCAGTGGCACTTCTGTACTACAGCGCTGGTGAAATTTGTAGCCACACGTCTGGCATCGGAACCCCTGGAAAAGCAGCTTTCGACAGAAGTCGCAGAACGCTAACGTGAAGAATGTTTTTCGTACCTACGTTGTCAAAAATAGCAACAATTAAATAAAATCCTAATAGAGACCTCTCTTTTTTTGACGGTGAAACTGTAACTTTATATATTAAAACAAAAAAGTTGTCTCTTTTGAAATTGTCTTCATGCATTTAAATTGTTCTTGGAATTAATACGTCAGTAGCCCCAGGAAAAACAGCAACAAATCTGAAGAAAAACACTGTATTATCATGCTAAAGACAAACATTTAGAATTTAATTGGAAACAACCTGTAACAACAAAAACTGCTGAAAGATTATCCTCTAACTTTTCTAGGAGCCAAATAACATTTCTATCTAACATCTACAGCACTGGAAAGACACAGATGGCCTGTAGCTACAGTTTCTGGTTGAAAACATTTAAAATTGCAAGAGGGAAAAGATATAGGGAAAAAAACTTCAGTTTCATTTTCAAATTTAGCAGTATTTAACACATACATATTCTAGTCATACTACTCCATGTAATTATCAAGATTTTAGAAGGATATTCAGAGATATTACATGTTCTAGACTTTAATCTAGCTAGACAAAGCCAAATTAGCTTGAGTAAAATAGTTTAAGGTTCTTGCACAAATAGAGTTTTGATTATTCACTTATTTATTTAAAAAAAAGGTCAGTCTTCTCAATGTGAAAAACATTATTTTCAATATTTTGTATGGAGCCAGAATGGTGTAGATGGATTTTGTCTAGCACCTTCCATTTACTTGGTGCCTTATCAGGTCAAAACATATTTGTGCACTAGCATCACTGGTGATGTCAGTACTGCTCTGGGAATAGTTAGTTCATTAGTTAATTGCTGCTGCAGAATCAGCAGGGAGGCCCAGAATACATTTTATAGATACAGCAATACAAAAATAGTAGATTATTATTACAGCTCTGCAATGCAGTGCTGATTTAAAATCACTACATTTATACATTTTAGAGGGTATATTCCATTCAAATTTGAAAGTTTTACGGGATATCAAGTACCCTTTATCAGCATTTATTTCAATTACAATTATAACTACATAATCCAAGCTATTGTGATTAAAAACTTAAAAGTTTTTGAGCTGACTTATAAATTCAACTCAACATTTCATTAAAAAATGGTACATACAAAATTGTGTGTTGTGAGTGGCACGTTCTCCAAGACCTCCACATGTAACTCCTCTCCGGTTAGCCAGGAAATGTCAGTGTCCCAGCCAATTGGTTTCTTCTCTCTGAAGTATAAATAAGGTTGTCATTAGCACACAAATCCCTGCAGGTCTTTGGAAGTTTACTACCCATTCACTAACTGCAGGAAATTTTAAAGACAAGACACTAAGTTCAGCACGTACCAAGGAAAGCATACCTTCCCTGGACGAAGATCATAAAAGAAATTCACTTCTTTTTCCAGCTACATTCAATAGTGGCTGACTTAATTCCAGGGTGACATACACCTTTCTGATCAAATGAAGTGTGTGTGAAACGACCTGTTCCAAAGAGATTGCTAATTTTGCACAGTAAAGCAATCTACTAACTTTTTAGGATTGGAAACTCAATGCGTATTTTTTCGTGGAAACTCTATGTTCAGTTAAGGTTACCTATAACCAGGTCATAAAAAATCAAAAACTTTACAAAACCTATTTTATACTTGTTTATCTAGCATGAATTGGAGTTCTGACTATCTTTGAAGGGATTAAATCATTTTCTAGGAATTGGTCATTCTTTTTAGACATGTTCATAAGGTACAAATTATTTTAGTGCAAAGCATCATATAATTCTCAACTTTGAAAACAGTTTCAATGAAGCTGGAGAGAAGTGGGAGTGCTGGATAACTCCAACAAGAAATTTTAAGAGCAAGAACCACCACACACAAACCATACCCATCCTGTATTCTGTAAACAGCACAGCATTCTGGAATAAGACCTCTCATCATCAGAGCTTTCTTCAGGCTGTCTCGGACTGTCACCCCACATCTTGCCGGAACCTACATGCCATATAAATAAGAAAGGAATTAAAACAAATTCCAACTTCTCTCCTTAAACTGATACAAACATTTTGATGCTAGAATAGTGCTAGAATAGACTTTTATTATGTTTTACAGAACTTTAGGTAAGAGTTTCTCAACCTTCTTCATATTGTTTTACTGGTGACTAGTATATAAGCAATCTAGCTCAGCCAGAAGTGAAAACAAGCTCTGTATTTCTACTACTGCCTTGAATGAAATCTTGTTGCAGCTCTAAAAGGTGACCTTCCAACTCTCTTTACCTTGAAGAAAGTGGAGACAGCACACAGAAAGCTAATAACTATGTATATGTATGAAAAAATTCAGGCCAAGCTACAAGATTATGTAGGGCAACATGCCAAAGGGGAGTTAAAGTGAAAGAACTAACAGCTTGGACTGCCCTCCAAAAAAACATTATGAGATGCAAACATTTTATTAAAAAAAAAAAAGATAAGTATGCAAATAAGATAAAGCTATCACCTGAGATAGGCAGACCAATACCTCTGCATTTGCAACTCTACAGATATTTCCTGCTTTTTTTCCATCATTATTCCCAGTGTTGTCACCAGGAGCAAGGAAGTGACCCTCCCTCCACACTCAACACTGGTGTAGCTGCACCTTGAGTGCTGTGTTCAGTTTTGGGCGCCTCACTGCAAGAAAGACATAGAAGCCCTGAAATGTGTTCAAAGATGGGTAACAGAGCTGCGAGGGGTCTGGAGCACAAGTGTGATGGGGAGCGGCTGAAGGAACTGGGGTTGTTCAGTCTGGAGAAGAGGAGGCTCAGGGTAGACCTTATTGCTGTCTACAATGATCTGAAGGGAGGTTGTGAGGTGGGGGTCAGCCTCTTCTGCTGTGTAACTACTGATAGGGTGAGAGCAAAAGGGAGGTTCAGGTTAGACATCGGGAAAAACCTGTTCTCCAGAAGAGCAGTCAGGTGCTGGAATGGGCTGCCCAGAAAAGTGGTGGAGTCAGCATTGCTGGAGGTGTTCAAGAAGCACTTAGATGTTGTACTGAGGGACATGATTTAGGTGGGAAATATTGGTGATAAGTGGATGGTTCGACTGGCTGATCTTGGAGGTCCTTTCCAACCTTGGTGATTCTATTATTCTACTTGAAGAAAAGCATTCTTCTCTTCTGTTTCACTATTTGAAAATAGCATGCGGATGAAGATGTGCTCTAGAGCTGGCCAAAGAAGTGGAAACTATGCAAAGTAAAGATATTTTTCTTGTCTCTATTCTTAGTTGCAAGAATCTCTTATAGGAATTGGGTACATAATTTCTAAGCACATCTCTGATTAACATAATATATCATCAAGCCATAAAAACAGAGCAATACATAATAGATGATTAACTAGTTAAGTTGTCACATGTTACCCAGTTACCATCTCTAAAACTATAAACTGAAAGTAACACTTCAGTTCATACACACCCTGTAGCCTTTCCTAAACTCATGCACAGCGTGACATACTTGAAGCACAGAAAAGCCCACAGATCTGACAAATCAAAAAAGTCTGCCTGAACACCTGAGACTCAATTATAGCTTAGAGAAGTCTAAGCCAGAGCCTGGGTAGCCAAAAGAAGGCTCTTAATCAGCTTCAGCTGGCTTTGGATCAGAGCCGAGTTTCTGCTCCTTGCACTTCAATTTCCATGAGTATTTAGGTACCATATGTCCTACTTAAGGATGACAGTGAAAAGCAGCAGTCTATTTCAAGTAGCTTTGTGAATACCATTTGAGTTACGTGATATATTGCATTCTTAGAACTCAAACAAACGCTTTCTCAGAACAGACAACTTGAATATTTTGCTTCACATTCTTCCCCCCATTACTGACAGTCGTTCTTACATGGTATTTGGGCCTTCCATACGATCAACATGTAAATACGTAAAACAAAATTTCTACCAACTCATTGGAAAAAACATTCTATAATGCTTCATTATCTTGATATTCAACCTCACCTGACTTTGCTTTATGCAGACCATTAACAAAACCATGCATTAAGACACAATCTAAACAACTCCTTCCCATCCTATAAATTAACATTATGGCTTTCAACCACTTGTAGAAGTGGGTCACTTCTCTAGCATAAAGCACCCGTGGATGTTACTAAGCACAGATATAACAGGAAGCCTGGGAGCAACTATTACTGTCAATATTGTCAACAATTTTCCATTTTAAGCAACAGAGGACTAGGACTGACATCTCCACCAACTTAACTATTCACACTGAAACCAACTGCTTTTAACATATTTCTCCCTGCTTCCAACATACATATTTACAAATAGAGAGTAAAAATTTTTCACAAAAATCTCAGAGGATTTCAGATGCACGCTCCAGCTTCCCACACAACGGGACCAACCAAGAACCATCTCCACCAAACAAACGAGTGCTCTTCAGCTTGGGGATATTTTCCCTGCAAATACAGGTCTTTCTGGATTGAGGGAGTAGTTTCATAGGAACTTCAAGTTTATCCTTCCAGCACCCGCACTTATTTCACCACAAATATCCACAGCATTCAAAGAAGAAATACAAATACAGAGAAGGGTGACAGAGAAAGATTGACTAAGAGAAAAAGGGGAATCTGTTTACAAGGGTGGATAGTGATAGGACAAGGGGCAATGGGGAGACAGAGGAGGCTTAGGATAGATACTAGGAGGAAGTTTTTCACTCAGAGGGCGGTGATGCACTGGAGCAGGTTGCCCAAGGAGGTTGTGGATGCCCCATCCCTGGAAGCATTCAAGGCCAGGCTGGATGTGGCTCTGGGCAGCCTGGTCTGGTGGTTGGCGACCCTGCACATAGAAGGGGGGTTGAAACTAGATGACCACTGTGGTCCTTTTCAACCCAGGCCATTCTATGATTCTATGAATGTGTAGATGCAGGAAAGCAACTGATCATGATGAAGAAATGGAAGAAGGGAGGGAGGACAACTCAGAAACTGGGAAAAGCATGTATAAAGTGGGAGATGGGACTGGCATCAGTAGATTGGTAGGAAACAACTAAGTAGGATGGAAGGAAGATAGACTGAATGGCTTAATGAAGCAGAAGGAAAGAAACAAAAATAAGACTAACAACTATGTAGGGAAGAGCTGATTGAAGCAGCTGAGGAAACACATACAGAAGCAGCAGCTTTCATGATGTTATTAAGAAAAAGAAAAAGATAGCTCAGTTTGGACAAGGAGTACAGTGGTTTAAAAAAAAAAAAAAAAAGAGATACTGCCAACAAGAAGCACTAGAAACAGCCATGGGGGGAAAGGGGGAATGGAGGGGAACTCTAGCTTAGGCAGAGAACCTCAAAGAATTAAGCGTAAGAAGAAACCAGGGTAGTAAAATGCACCTGGGTAAGGAGCTGCAGCAGGAGAAGATGGAAAAGCCAAGCAGCAGAAGGGGAACTAACATTAAAGAAAGGAGGAAGAAAAGTAGGGAAGGAATCTTCTGCTTATTATAAGATATTTTCCTCCTCTAGCACTAAAGGAAATAAAAACCATTGTATATTAAGAACAGCACCCTACAGCACCTGAGGAAACAAAGGACTGCATCAGGAACTTGAGGAGCTCCAACTCTATCAATCAATTACACTGGTGTAAATAATACCACCTCAGGCAGCTTTTTATTAATTTGAGTTGAAAATAAGATTATGACATTACAGACTTCATTTTAAGAGATCATTAAGATCGGAAAGGTAAGCTATCACAATTCAGGAAGCATGAAAGTTGCCCACAACCAAGCAAGTGTAATAGGATGATGATGAAAATGTGCTTTAACTATTTCCCTTGCTTATCATTTACTGTTCCTCCATATCATTGTCCCAAGTTCCTTTCATTAAATTCTGAACCATATTTAGGCATCTTGCAGTCAGAATCATAGCCAGAACATTTGTTCTCTTCACTGCCATTTACAAGAAGATCTAGCTAGAAAACAGAGTTTTAATTACTCTGAAAACCATCAGGATCCTGAGTCAGCATAACATTTAGAACATGCTCTTATAGAGCTCATGAGCAAAGAAGCAGAAGGCTAAAGAACTAGGTACTTGAATAAATCTCTCTAGTATTGATTAATCATTTTCCCACACTGGAACAGTGCGGTCCATCACCATCTGTGCATGTAGCCCTTCAGCCCCCTCCTTCAGTCCACACCACAGACTGCAGCAAAGCAGAAATCTCACCCAGCAAAGAACACACACATCTAAACCTTTCTTCCCCCCCATTCTCTTCTCACACTCCAATGGGAAAAGTCTTGTACCATGAAAACGATACAACTCCATTTTAAGACCAGAGCTCTTTCCTACACCTGATGGACAGACATGCAACCCGGAGTGGTTGCTTGGGAGTGGCGGCCATCTGCATGCCAGCCAAGCAGCCCCAGTGGGCTTCCAGTTCTGTCAAGGGATTTGATGGGCTTCCCATAGACTGCTTTGGCCAAATCACAGTGGCACTTTTTTTTTTCTTTTTTTTTTTTTTAAATAAAAAATGTTCCCCATGAGAAAGCTTTTGATCTGTTCCAATATATACTTCCTTATTACTGTAATCCAGTAAATTGGACAAAGTTTGTGTTTTGCTGCATCAAATAAAGAATGCTTAGTACGTCAAATCCTTTTTTGTCCACATCCATTCATTATCTTTTTATCCCTTTATTTTGTAACTAAGAAAACCGAGATGTTTCACAACGTTTACCTCTTACGAAATCACACTAGTTTTAGTTAGGGGACATGGATCCAAATTTTAACTGTTTCTTTTCTTTTCTTTCTTTTTTTTTTCTTTTTTTTTTTTTTTCTAAGTTACTCAAACTGCTAATATTCGTAAATCAGAAAAGGTTTATTTATTTTAAGAAAAAGCTGAACAGCTGATTTGGCAAAACTATTTCTCAAAAATGAACAGCACGGCTATACAAAGCTAAGGAATAGCAAAGAAGCTGCCTATGTGGACTGCAATATGCATTAACTGCATGGCTTACTAATACACCAAAGAAAGTAATCTACTCATGCACCT